CTATCTCTCTCTGTCTATATAAATGTATATATATACATAAATTATATATATAGATATATATATTGTTTTTTCGGTTCTCTTCATCTCTCTTGAGACCATTTTTGGCACGTGCGTTGACTATTATAATATTTAGATGCGTAGTGTGAACATTTAAGGCAAGGCGAGTTATACAATATTTTATTTAACTAACAAGTGAATTTCAACTATTTAACTATATATATATATATATATATATATATGTATGTGTATGCATACAGGTAAGATATGTCTGTATGTATTTGCAATTTGTTAATGTCCTCGGCTTGTTTTGTAGACTGGGTGGGCAGCAGTGGGATGGGTTCATTGGGCGTTGCTTCAGTTAATTGGCAATGTGTGTGTGTTAGTGTTTGTTGGTGCGTGTTGGTGTAGTCGGCGTGGGTAACGCCAACTGATACGACAACAATAAGAATAACAACAACAACAACACTAACAAGAGCAACACCAACGACAATGAGAAGAGCAATCGGCGCAACGCCAACGCACATATTTCCTGTGCCGGCAGCTTATCGATTTTTAGTTTGACGTAGTCACAATTCCAGTTATTATTTCATTATTTACCCATAGGGATGTTCACTCTATTTGGTAACAGAATACAGAATGAAGAATACTCTGATGCCGCAGGGATTGAAGGGTATATTGGTTATGTCCATCTAATAGCCAAAAAAAAAAATCGGTATTATCGATAATTGCACTTCGATCAAAGCACAAATCTTTCACAATCCTTAAGCTAGAGTCACCAAATTTGGAGTGTGGATTTCTGGGGAAGTTTTTTAAATATAGGCATAACAAAATCAACGTTTTGTGTTGTTAAGTTAATACTTAACTAAGGTTCGTGTTTTTGTTTAGCTTGATTTTATTGAACATAATTTTAATTCATTTTCGATAAACAGTGCTGTATTTTTTACCCTTAATGGCATTTCAAAATGAAATTTCAATTATTTTTAGAAAACCTTTTTGCTGAGTAATTGTGTTAACTCGTTTATTCTAATTATTGTTTGTTCCGCAATAGATTTCTTTCCAGCAAAAACCAATTTAATAAATTAGTTGCTTAGCCTTGAAAATATTGCAGTTCTTAAGAATTACAATCTTTCTAATTGTAAACTAAACTAACTAGATAATGTGTAGTACACATCCTATAAATGTAAACACTTCGATGTGACAATTTCCGTCAATTACTGACTTCCTTATTTGTTTTCGAGGGCTTGAATCTCTCTTATCTGTCTCTATGCCGATAGTAATTGAATAAAACAAGTGCTATGTGAAAATGATAACAATTTAGAGTTTTTAAGGAAAGTTTTCAATTGTAGCTCTTGGCAATTGATTGTAGAAAGTTATTTGGCAGTTTAAGCTGTTAAAAATTTTACAAATTTTACGTTGTATCAAACAACGAAATTTCATTTTAATTAAAGAGTTAGATTTCCATTTAATTTAGCGGCATAATATCAAGAAAGTGTGAAATTTGATTAAAATACATTTTTCTTTTTGGTTAATTTACTCACATTTTTACGTTCCCACAAACATTCATGCTCTCTCTATCTCTCTCTCTCTCTCTCTCTCTCTCTCTCTCTCTTACTCTCTCATTCTCAGTCTGTCTCTCGCTCTCTTATATATATCTGTCTCACACTCTCTGTCTCTTTCTTCCTGTCCAAAGCTTACGATCACAAAGACGCGCTTAGCATTCAATGTGATTTTCTTTTCCTTTTCGCTCTCTTTCTGCCCATTTGCTTTTCACTGAAATACAGTGAACACCCCTAATGTGGGTGACATTGGCTACCGTCATATATTTTCCATTGCATTCGCAAATGTCATCGTTTGGCTTCTATTTTGGTTGTTGCTTTACAGAAAAAAAGGTCAAATGGCTTTTTCGATTTAGTTGTTGCTGTTGTCTGAGTAACAAAACTAAACAAAATGCCAAATGTCATGCTCAATGGAACTTTGGGAACTGCTGCACTTGTTGGCCAGCCATTTTATTTTATTTTTTGACCCACTTGGCAACCGGCAACGGCAAAAACTACGCCACTAGGCCGGCCGACCCGATAGAATAAACCAAATAATGGGAATGAGCTGAAAAGTTTTCACTTCTACAATTTGCACTAATAAAGATGACGACAACCTTTATTTTTTTGTTTCTTGCTTTTTGCAAAATGCCGCCACTGCTTCCTTGGAGGATTGGTCTGGTCAGCTGTGTGCGCGACATTAATTATCTTAATTACCTGTAGAGGGCGCTGTGTATGCGAAGTTCTACAGACACGCCTTAATATGGCGGCACCACAGCACAGCACTCAAGGAAGGCGGTGGCGTCATAACGGCACCTAGTAATGAGCTAATGGCGCGCTCAGTTCACTCATAACTTTCAGGCATACATTTTCATTTAGCTCGGAGAAAGGCAGACACGAATGTTGCCGCAACATTTAACGGCAACATAAATACAGCAACATACTGCATACCACTGCTTAAAGCAACCCGCACAAATATCGTTATTCAAATTTATGGCCCGACACGCGATTCCCCTCGAAAAGCACAAAACTTAACGTCGATCAAGCTTAAAGTCGGCTGGGTGGGGGGAGCTTTGCTATGAGGGGTTGGGGGGTTAGGTAAAGCAACACACGTCTTGCAGGTAAAACAAAAGCCAAGTGAAAACAAGAAATGTATTTATGTCTTGCGCCGATTTTTTAATACACTCATTAATTGGTTGAGCTATTAAACTTTAATGTGAATCAAATTTATGAATGTCGTCATCTAAATATATCTTATTTAATGGGCACAAAACACGTTATTAAATAATACAATTTTTTTAATGATACTATCGTTATATCCAATAATTATAGAGGCCTGAAAGAAAAATACAGTTAACACAAATCAATATCCAAAAGACAGAAAATAATAATAAGATGTAAATAAGCTATGAAAACAGCTGACAGCTGATGGCCTTTTTGTTTCCCATATTGATTTATTGCACAAAATAAATCCGGATATGCATCATGATAAATTCATTAAAACCTGGGCGCAAGAGTATTCAAAACTAAAATTCAAACGGCGATGGGCAGAAGAAGAAGAAGAAGAAGACAATGGCCAAGTGAAACGTGCCTGTGAAGAATAAAAATTATGAAAAAAAAATTATAAACGAGCTTCAATGAGCTCGTGTGTGTGTGTGTATGTGTGTGTGTGTGTGTGTGTGTGCGAGAGGCCTATACTTATATACTAAATGCTCTGACATAACCTATGTTGAGTTGGGGTTTGAAGAGATTGCGGCGGGGGACAACTGACTCATTGAACGGTTATGCAGGAATGGAACGGAATGGTATCGCTTGGGGATGGAAATGGGTTTGGCAGTTGCGGACTGAGGAGGCGGCGGCGGCACTCAATTGGCAATGATCGCTTAATGACAACAATTTCAATAATTTACACAGACTGTGACGCGGAATGTGGTGACTGGGAATGGGCTCGGGCCCAAGGCATGTGTGGAACGCGCCAGAGTTGAAATGAACTTGACAATTGAAAAGATTTCTGATTGCTCTGGCAACAATATAGCGTGACAGTTAGTTATCAAATGCCCCGCAGCCGCGCTGCGTTTTCTTGATCCACGAAAGCTGGCGAGCGACACCTGTCGTCGCATGCATGCACTTATCGCAGCAAAGGCTTCGCATAAATATTTCAAAACTGCCAATTATTGTCAATTATCGTAAGTAGAAATTTATCTCGGGGCGCCAGGGAAAGTTGTACATGCATATGCAAGTCATGTATTAATTAGAAGCGTTTGCCTTTAATATTATCGAATTGTATACCTCATTCGAGAAACGGAGGCAGTAATCGATAAAATGGAGCAAACTTGATCTACGCGTGATATACGAAAACCTATATTCCAAATTTGAAGTATGTATCTTAGTCCCTGAGATTCGCATTCGCACAGAAGGACTTGGCTATTTCGACTCGGCTGTTGATCCTTATCAAGAATTTATATACTTTATGCTTTCTGTAACAGGCAGACATTTGAACAAAATCATAATACTCTTCTTAGGGTATACAAATCAGATGACTTGAGTTGTCCACTAAATATATAATTCTTATAAGTATCGCAGAGCTTTATTTAAAAATGTTGTTTGGAGCGCACTTGGTGACTGCACCAAGGACTGCAAATGTCTGATTTTTGTTTTTATATTCATATTATTTTCTATTAAAATTAAAAATTCCGTGTTTATTAAGGGCTCTTTGGATTTGATGGGTTAATAAACTGAAATTGAATTATGGTAAACAGCTGTTTTTTATAGCCCTGAACTAGCTAAGGACAACGACACGGATGCGATTACGGATACGGGTTTCGGGGCACGCAACCTTATGTCCTGGGTGTGTCTGGGCTTGTGTAGAGCCTCTTTTTAATTTGTATTTTTTTTCAACCTCAGCCAGCATGGCGTCATCAACGAGAATTGTTGGTCAGCATATTGTTGTTGAACGGTAAATCGGTCAACGTCGTCGTTGGGGTCATCATTGGTTTGGAATCTAGTGCAGCAAGTCAGCAAAGCGAGTGGAAAATATGTGGTTGCAAACAATTTACGTAAATTAGCGCAATTACAGCTGCTGGCTGGCTAGCTGACTAGCTGACTGACTGCCGCCTGACTAGCATTCTGTTGTGCAGCCAAGAGATACTTTCTAGTCTACCGGGGGAGCCAATGGAACCGGTTTGACTTTTGAGTTTGGTTTCTTATTGTTGTTAGAAACGTCAGCAGCTAAATAGAAAAATAAAAAAAAAGTAGGCAATAGACAGTAAACAGTGTTGTTGTTGCCACATCATAATAGTCAAGCATATATATATACATATATGAATATAATAAGTAAACAGCAATATTGACAACGTTCCTCAGAAATCGCAAAAACGCAACCAAATGATAACCCAACTGTAAACACAACTTAACCCAAAATAAGTAAGGCATTACACATTTAATTCGTTGTCTTCTCCGTTTCAGCATGGAAGTTCAAACGGCAAACAGCCTGCACAACGCTCTGCTGTCGTCGCTACAAGGAGCCAACAGTCCCGCCAACAGCCCCAATGGAACGCCCAAAAAGACATTGGCCTCTAAGCAATCCTCGGCAGAAGCGAATATTCTCGAGCAGCTTAGCAAGCAGCAGCAGCTGGAGTCAGCCAATCACAGTCGCGACTGCGACAGTCCGGCCAGCTCCAATTCGGAGCTAGAGAAGGATCTGAATGAGTTGCGCGATCTGAATGGCTCGCTAACGGGCAGCGGCAGTGTTGGCAAATCGAATGGTTCCCTCAGCGGCGCCTCATCCAACAATTCGGCGCCACCAGCTGTTTCGACGGCTACTGTTGGTGCTGCAGCTGGAACAACGAATGGTGGCAATGCTCAAACGTTGGGCGCCACAATTGCGGCACAACTCAAGAAGCGCATCTCAAGCAGCCGAACGCCGACACGCAAGGCGCATCGCATTAAATTCTATCGCAATGGGGATCGCTTCTATCCGGGCATCACCATACCCGTCTCCAATGAGCGATATCGTTCCTTTGAGAGCCTCTACGAGGATCTGACACGACTCCTCGAGGAGAACGTGAAGATTCCGGGCGCAGTGCGGGCCATTTACAATATGGGCGGCAAAAAGGTGAGCATAAAATGATAATTATCTTTAGCCAATAAAATTACAAGCTATGTATTGAGCTTGTATATTATTATATATAGTATATATGACCTAAAGCTCCATTAATAATCCAACACAGCAAACTTGATGATTCTCCTCAACTCTAGTTGTATATCTTTCATCTCATATAAATTATTAATCCATCCAAGATATTTTAAGATTATCATTATTTTTAATGTTATGCGGTTGTTTTTAGTTTGAACTAGCATATTAAATATATTTTTTCAAATAATGCCTCCAAATAATCAAAGATTATATAATTACTGCTTATCTCAGTACAATAAAAACAATACTCCTTTAATAGTCTTTCAAAAACACTTTCTATGTATTGAAAACTCTCTGCTGACCCACTACTTCATCTGCACAGAGGGAGCCAAATTAAACAACACCATTAGCTAGAGCAACACAACCGAAACATTTAAATACCGAACTACTTAGCTACTACTACTATTGCTCAGTTCTCTCCAGCCGAACTCATTGCTCTACTTGAAGTCATTAGGCTAATGCATTAAAAAAAAGAACACGTCATTTGTTGCCACTTTCTTTCTGCAATTAAATCCCTCACAAGCCATAATAACCAGTCCTACCACACACTACTTAGCTAAATATATAATTAATCTGGATAGCCAGCTGTCAAACAGAAAACACCTCTCTAAAAATCTTTATCATCGAAACACCGAATGAACACTCACAAAAATTAGAAATTAACAAAGGTCCAATCTGTAACCCAAATAATAATCTTGACAGAAGACAACAAATGATTCTTAACAAAATCAGTCAGCTTCTCACTAAAAATAAATAGTAAATGTAATTAATTATTGAATTTATTATAAAATACTGTCGAACTCCTCTTTCACTTCACAAATCCTGCTCCTTCCCCAATTGTTACAGCCTTAAATTAAATATTCTATGAAATATTAAATTGTAAATATTAAAATATGATTTAAAATAAAAATAAACATATTAAATAGAGAACAAAATGTTATTGAAACAATTTAATTACAGATCACTGCACTGGATGAGCTGGAGGATGGCCAGAGCTACGTTTGTTCCTGCAATACTGAGAACTTCAAGAAGGTGGAGTACAACACCAGCTCCCAGCCGCTGGCCAATTTGACGCTGGCGAATAACAGTCGCTCAACGAATCAGCGTCTCGCCAAGCTGCAGCGACCCGCATCGCCGCTCAAGAATGGCGCCATGATTGGCAGCACTGGCAGCAGCAGCGGTGGCTCATCAGCGGCCAACGGTGGTGGTGGTGGTGGTGCGAGCGTTGGCGGCGCCGGTGCTGGTGCTGCTGCCACAAATGGCAGTCCGCTGAACAATTCCCGTTTCAGCGAACGGAACAGCGTGGTGCATCCCCGCATTGTGACACTGATTCGGAACGGCACCAAGCCACGTCGGATAATGCGTCTGCTGCTGAACAAGCGGAACAGTCCCAGCTTCGAGCATGTCCTCACAGCGATTACGCAGGTGGTGCGACTGGATACGGGCTATGTGCGCAAGGTGTTTACATTGTCGGGCGCATCGGTGGCACAACTGGCCGATTTCTTTGGTACGGACGATGTGTTCTTTGCCTATGGTACGGAGCGCGTGAATGCCGCCGAGGATTTCAAGCTGGAGGCGGATGAGCAGCGTGCAATTAATGCCATACGCAAGACACTGCGCACAGCGGGCACCACATGCAAGGGACCCAAACCGAAGATGCCCGTTAAAAGCAAAAAAGCCTATCCCGACGATGACACCGCGACGAGACGGGAGCGAGGAACTGGCGATACGGATACCGTTGTGGAGGATGATCAGGCAGCGATACTTAATAGCACGGGCGTTGAGATCGGGGATCTGCCCGTCGCCATAAGCGACAATTATACGCTGGGTCAAATGATTGGCGATGGCAACTTTGCCGTTGTGCTTAAGATCAAGGATCGACAGACGGGCTTGCCCTACGCCCTCAAGATCATTGACAAGAGCAAGTGCAAGGGCAAGGAGCACTATATTGATGCCGAGGTGCGTGTCATGAAGAAACTGGAGCATCCGCATATCATCTCCCTCATCATGGATGTCGATCAGGTGACAAACATGTACCTGGTGCTCGAGTATGTCAGTGGTAAGTGCAACATTCAATGCCACCAAATCAGAACCAGTGATTGAATCGAATCGAATTTGAGGCGTTTAACAATTGTTCTTCTCAAATCCGAGCAAAACAACTTGGTAAATGGAAACTGCGGTTGCTGAGTTGATTCTAATTTGCAAATAGCTCAATTTCGGGAGATCTTTTTAACCATATTAAATTTATTGCTTGTGAAATTAAATATGTATATATGATTATATATAATATATTTTCATTATATACTATATATAGTTATATATATATATATATAAATATTGTATATTATTGATTTTTATAGATAAACTCAAAGACGTTTTCAAAATCACTAAAAATATATTGCTTATAATTCTACATTGATTGTGGTAATCCATATTTTCAATTTGTTGACTTCTGTAGACAAATCCGAAAGGCTTTTCGAAAATATTATGTGGAAGTAATTTCAGTTTAACAAATTCCCAGCCAGATTGTAGTATTCCAGCAGGTACAAAAACAATGACCATATTTAAAAGCTGTATTTCCAAGCAAAAATACAATATTCACAATTTGATTACGCAATATCATTATGAAAAATGTGCTCAACGCAGACACTGAAGTAAAATAGAAATACCGATTAGGAGTATTTAGATTTGTTTTAGACAGTGTAAGTGAGATATTGACTTCATTTGAAGCATTGTCGATTTATAAAAAAAATCAGGTAACTTTTGATTTACATACTAAAATACTCAAACAAATGTGCCGAAGAGTTAAAAGAGTTTTTCTTAGTGTACTTTGTTTCATTTTCATTTTTGTTATGCCATATTTTTTAAGTTTATATTATTTTTATTTAAACCAAACATAAAAACTCCCTCGTTTTTGGATTAAAAGTTTCTTCGGTTTTAATTGGTTAAAGGCCTTAGCGTATAAGAGTCATTACAACTGTTTATATAGACAAATATGACTCTCAGCAATGTGCATTACATATTTGTAAATTAGCAAATTCTAAAACAAACCCAATTGTAATTTATATTTTAATCTGCTTAGGTGGTGATCTATTCGATGCCATCACGCAGGTGACACGCTTCTCGGAGAGCCAATCACGAATTATGATCCGGCATCTGGGCTCCGCCATGTCTTATCTACATTCCATGGGCATTGTGCATAGAGACATCAAGCCGGAAAATCTACTTGTAAGCTGGAACTCAACTCCACTCACATCTTTACACTTTACTAAAGTTGCTTTCTTTATTTTTGAGATAGGTTGAACTGGACAAGTATGGCAATGTTGTGGAGCTGAAGCTAGCCGACTTTGGTCTGGCCTGCGAGGTAACCGAACCTCTGTACGCCGTCTGCGGCACGCCCACCTATGTGGCGCCCGAAATACTGCTGGAAGTGGGCTACGGTTTGAAGGTTTGAAGCGCACCACTTCTTTGTGCACCCAAAAAATACTGTTGTAATGTTATATATTATATTCCTCAGATCGACGTTTGGGCTGCTGGCATAATATTGTATATACTGCTCTGCGGCTTTCCACCATTTGTTGCGCCTGATAACCAGCAAGAGCCGCTGTTCGATTCGATCATCTCTGGCGTTTATGAGTTTCCCGATCCATACTGGTCGGATATCGGCGATGGTGTGCGCGATTTAATCGCCAACATGCTGCAGTCGGATCCGGATGTTCGTTTCACCAGCGAAGATATTCTTGATCATTATTGGACAATGGGCAATGAGAATAACGGCTGCGACGGCGAATTTAGTAGATGAATCGTGGCCGTGTGGGGTGTTTAAGCGGCTATTATGCATCCCAAAGATGCCGTCTAGTAGTTTTTTGTATTATGTAATTTAGCGCTATTCTATAGGCCTTAATTTATTATTTTTACATATTAACTCATAACAACAACAACAACCGAACTTAAGACCATAACAGCGTGGCCGGCACATTTAGACGGTGCTGACAGTTTTCAGAAATTCCAATTTCGAAACCGTTTACGGTTCGCAACTTTACTATATTCTTTTAACGCATATATATATATATATTTTATAACGAAAGGTACATTTACATTCAGACATATATTTTATTGGTATTTTTAAACTGTTTTAATTAGTATTTTAATTGATTATAAATTATGAATAAATGCATGTTGTGTATATTTTCATAAACTGTTAATTTTGTTTTTGAAAAGCCTTTTTTTTGCTTTGTTTTTACATATATGTATGATTTGCTTGCACTTGTAATGTAAACGATAAACGCAGAAAAAAAACAAAAACAACAATAATTAAGCGCATTTATACAAACACCAATAATACAACTTTAGAAATATATATATACATCTATGAAAATAAAACAAAAAGAAACCGATTTTCATTGACTGATGCGATTTAAAATTATAGTTGCGCCGATATATAAATAGGTATCGTTAGTTGATGCTACGTGTCTTAAAATACTGTGCGCGTGGATGATTAGTTATCGATAACTTGACCGCATTGTTGCAGTGCGTGCACAAAACAGCTGTTGAATGCGAAATGCGGTCACACTGGGGCAAAGATGTTTTGATAAGAAAGCGAATGCTAACGAGAAAGCTTAAAAATGGCTGAAACTTTGCCAATTAATAGCGTAAGTGTCCTTATGCTGCCTACATTAATAGCAATACAAATGCTGTTCCTTGTTTAGGACTCGGGCACCGATGAGGAGGAGGAGGAGGTGGAACCAAAGTTCAAATACCAGCGCATTGGAAATGACCTGAGAAATATACTCAACACGGATGTTGTGACCTGCAGTGCCGTCCATTCAAAGGTAACGTTTGCCTAGCAACCCAATTGCATACCAATTAATTGACCACCAACCAATAGTTTCTCATATTTGGCACATTCCTCGGTCGAGTCTATCTGCTGGACCACAAGGGCAACTCCGTGGAGTCCAACCTGAGCAGCGGAGATCGTCACACTCACTCCGTCGCTGTTAATCACATCGATGTGGATCCTAAGGGCGAATATGTGGCAACATGCTCCGATGATGGCAGCGTGAGTCATTCAATTGAACGCAAATAAAAAGGGGAGAATGTTTATATATATATTTATTGATACGATAACATTTGCAGTTTAAGATTACTGGTCTGTTCAGCTGTGAAAACAACCAAAATCTGAATTATGGCAAGAATATTAAGGCGGTTGCCTTGGATCCCGAAGTCAAGTCGGGCGGACGGCGCCTCATAGTGGGTGAGTTCTTTCTTTTGAATTCAAAAAGTAATCCTGTAAATAACTTTATTTGCTGTTTTTAAATACTTTTACTAATTTTATGTTTTTTATTCCCTTCAGGTGATGATAAACTCACTTTGTACGAACGCAATCTGATCAAGAAACTAAAGCCGAGCGTGCTGTCTACCGCTGAGGGTAGCGTTTTGTCCATTTGCTGGCAGGGCAACTTTGTTGCCTGGGCGAGCCATTTAGGTGTGCGTGTGTATGATCTGAGCGAGAAGTGCTCGTTGGGTCTGATGAAATGGGAGGTGCCGCCACAGGCGCGTCTCGAAAACTTTCGCTGTCATCTGCGCTGGTCGAATGCCAATACGCTGCTAATCGGCTGGGTGGATACTATACGAATTTGTGTGATACGCAGGCGTAACACAATTGAGGCATCCTCAAGCAATTTGCCCGGCTATGTGGTGGATCCAGGTGATTGAGAGATATGCAGACTAACTAGAACATATTTAATGGTAATTTTATTTGTTTATTTGTTGCACAGTCTCAACATTTCCCACCACATTCTATATCTGCGGACTTGCACCGCTGGTCGCCAACCAGCTGGTGGTGCTTGGCTATCGCAAGGAGCGCAGTGCCACATACAAGGCGCTGAGACCCGTGCTCTGCGTCATCGAGTACAAAATGAACACGTGCGAGGATGTTTGCACAGACAGTCTCACCTTGCGCGGCTTCGAGGAGTATACCGTTAACGATTACAGCCTCGGCTGCATCATCGAGGAGAATCGCTACTTCATTGTGGCGCCCAAGGACATTGTGGTGGCTAGCCTCATTGAAAGAGACGATCGCGTCGAGTGGCTAATTGAGCACAAGTAAGTCCAACGAAAATATATTGTAGGTGCTTATTTTTCCAGTTAGAGTAGCAAAGAGTTTTCACATTTCATCCATAATCTTTTGCATTATTAAATTAATGCTGACTTAGCTGCTATTCATTTTAAATGGTTCTTGCTAGGATATTTGTATTTTTTTCTGTCTGAAGATTGTATATTACAATGTAAACCCTATATCAATCGAAAACTACAGCAAAGATAAGATCAAAATATGTAGTATCCTGCAGGGCTATAATAGTATAAACTATTCGAAGATAACCGTCCTTATATATATAGTTATAGACAAAGATATACAAAGAATTTTAGTTACTACTGCTGCCATAGGAGCAATTTAATATTTAATAATTTAAATTTCGGAAATAGCCGAAAACAGAACTTAATGTCTATCTTTGGTTATGGTAACTGACCCAAGGGTCATTTAATGCAATGAGCTAAGCGACAATGCTGTCACAGCACTTGTCCGCTGGCTTCGTCCAATCGTAATAGTAGGACACAAAGAGTCGTTGTCCTTGTTGCTCGTGGGTGCACAGCTTTCCCGTGTAGAGATCATGCATTGTGCGCTGATTGCGCTTGTGCAGCACCATGTGATACGGTCGACACTTGCTAGGCGTGTAGGCGGTGTCGAAGCGTACATCATGCCAACGATAGACATGACGCAGTGGCGCCAACCACGTGCCCAGCGATGCATCCTCTGAGACGTAGCTGGACAGTAAATATGAATTATTGGCCACATGTTCGCATAGCTTGCGGGAGAGCAAATAGCCACCGCCGAGTGCATAATTGATGTAGTTCTTGCTCAAATAATAATTCGTCTCGCGCCAGTGTCCCTTGACCTTGATGTTCGCGCGTCCATTGAAGTAGCCCCAATATAGCTCCGGCAATGGTTCGTGTCCAAATTCCGCACGATTTCTAAGCAGCTTGCGATCGTAAGAGACGAGCTCGTTGAGCAGATTGTCCAGTTTCACATACGTATCGTCATCCACTTTGAGCAGATACGAGAATTCATAGTGACGCGTCAGTGCGTCTAGCGACTGCATTAGCTTCTCGGTCAGATTGAGGTAGTCATCGTGTAGACGGGGCAGCAGCAGCAAATCCTTGTGCTGCTTCTGCTCGTGCTCCAATTCGGCACGCAGTGTGGCGCCCATTTGGCCATCTGTGCCAATGGCAAATAGATGCTTCACTTTAATATTTCGCTGTATGTGTGGCTCTTCTAAATCGGGCAACTGCTGCTGCCAGCTCATGTACTGCTGCAAACGATGAGCCTGCGCTGCAACTGTCTCCATTTGCAAATGACCGCCGGCAGCCGTGTAGCTGGGCAGATAGAGATACTCCTCGGGAAAGTATGCTTGTCGCAGTGGCTGGCCCAGTCGCAGCCAAGTGTCACGCATGCCATCGCGCATTTCCACGTTGCTGGGTGCACTGAACACAAGTATCACTAGAAATAGATCTGGATGCGGTTCCAGTTTGGCGACACCGCTCCTCGGTGCCGGGCACTTGTCGACCATGGTCAGAATACGGGTTATGAAGCTGCCAAAGAAGAACGCTGTTATGGCCGTGAAAAGCGTTACCAAATTATTCAAGCGACGCATCTTTTTTAATGTAATTATGGGTATCAAATAAATGTCGGGCAGGAATGCAAATTTCTTGCAATTTTATTGAACAGCTGTGCGATACTTTTGTTATGTTATCGATAAATCGATGCTTATTGCAGGCGGTATCGCGGTATTGCACAGTGGGCAACGTATGATAAAAATAAATAGTAATTGTTAATTAAGTACCTATATTTTAATAGTCTGTTTTCAATTGTGCAGTAAATTCGAGGAGGCCATGGAGATATGCAAGCATGGCGGCAGCTTACCCCTCCTATCTGTAGCCAGGTAAGCGTAAAACAAAATACATTTATAATATAATAATGTATATGTCGACCATCTACAGATTGTATATTAATCATTTGTTGACGCTGAAACAATACGACAAAGCCGCCGAAATTTGTCACCGAGAGCTGGGCAATAACAAGGCGCTGTGGGAGGAGGAGGTCTTCAAGTTTGTCAAGTGTCAACAATTGCGTTGCATTAGCGCCCATCTGCCCACCACCGATGATTGCAAACTGGATCCGCATGTCTACGAAATGGTGCTCTATGAGTTTCTCAAATTTGATGTGAACGGTTTCCTCAATCTAATCAAGAAGTGGCCGCCCAAGCTGTACGATGGGTTGGCTGTCATCAACGCCATTTACGATCATTTTCGCAAATCGAATGCCAAGGAGCTGTTGGAGTCCTTGGCATTATTATACTGCTATCAGGGCGACTACGAGAGTGCCTTGCGCATGTACTTGAGGTAAGCTAATTGATTTCCTCATTTTATGTGTGTACACACGAATATAATTCTCCCCACTCCTTTTTTAGATTAAAGAACGAAGATGTCTTTGAGCTAATTCGTCGCTTTGAACTATACGATGTCATCTCAAAATTAATCATTCCACTCATTGAACTGGATCAGAAACGTGCCTTTGAAATATTATTAGATAAGAATAAAATCAAACCCGCTGTCGTTGTGAATCAATTGGAACAAAATCAGGAATATCTCTATCGGGTAAGCATGCCGGCACGTTTACCCACTTAATGGATTGTTTAAGTTTCGTTTTAATTGCAGTATCTGGATGAGCTGGATAAGATTGATAGGTCTGGCACATTCCATCAGAAGCTAGTTGGGCTGTATGCCAAATATGATCGGTCCAAACTGTTACCCTTTCTGCGACGCTCCAATGATTATGCCATCCAGGAAGCGCTGGCAATTTGCAAGAGGGAAAGTTTTCATCCAGAGATGGTCTATCTGCTGGGTCGCATGGGCAGTGTGGTGGAGGCACTCAACATAATTATACATAGCGTAAGTATCTATATCAAATTAAAAGAGCCCGCTTTTAACTCCGTTTTATCCTTGCCAGATAAAAGATATTGAGATGGCAATTGAATTTTGCAAGGAGCACAATGATGACGATCTGTGGAACATACTTATTGAAGAGTCCACCAAACAGCCAGAAATTGTTACAAAAGTGCTCGATGGCATTGTGGGTAAGTTGCCTGATCTATTTCAATTCAAGAAATGCCGTTTGAAGTAATTTTGTTACGATCATTTGCAGATTACGTGAATCCCGTGCTTGTCGTTAGCAAAATCAAATTGGGTCAAACAATACCGAATCTGCATCAGTCAGTTGTGAAAATGCTCTGGCACTATAATATCGAGCAGGAAGTGAACACAATTGCACACCAGATCCAATTGGCCGACCAATTTGACACACACGCTGAGGTGGTGGCCATCCAGCGACGTGGACATCAAGTGTCCTATGATAAAGTGTGCCCAAAATGTACTCGATCAGTGATCGTAAAAGGCACAGCTCCACCCAATGGTTTAACAATATTCAATTGTGGCCACATTTACCACAACAATTGTGTGATTGAAAATCGTTGTGACGAGTGTCTGGACTGGGAAAGTTTAGTGGAAGAGGGTGGTAGTCAATAGCTTCGACTCTCCTCAGACACCAACAGACCAAGGACAATTCGTGGAAATCAATAAAAAAAAAGTCTGAGAGCGGTTTAGGACCATGTGTATTATGCGACAGCCAGCAAGCAAATTTTTCTTAATCGTTTTCATGCAATGTGTACATTTTAATTATTAACTTTAAGCTTTGCGTGTATGTTGTTTATTTATTTATTGATTTTTAAAAATAAAATGCAATAACCGAAAATCGACCAGTTTCACTTTTCAAATAAAATTGAGTAATTACTCGGAATCGAACGGAAGTGCACATAGTATCGATAACATGCTCACGTATTATCAAATCTAAGCATTGGTTATCGGAACAAATAGTAGCAACGCATGCTTCTATTTATATATTTGTTGTTTTTGGGTCGACAGCTGATTTTGCGGCATCATCCAAGCTACCGAAATATAAATAAAAACGACTAATCGGGCTTGTTTAATAGAAACTTACAATTTATGCATGAAATATTGGCAATTGTTTTTCTTTACAATTGTTTGTTTATTTTTTCTTTCACCAATACACACTGCAAACGGTAGTCAGAAATGCACTTAGGCCTCAGTCTCCGACTGAAGCTTAGCCACATAGGCTGCCTTGTGGGCGGCGATCTTGATCTTGCGATCCTCATTCGTGAGTTTCTTGGCGTTCCACCTCTTCTTGACGGGAGCCGACTTCTTGGCAGCAGCCTTCTTCGGAGTGGGATCGCTACGAATGGACTGGTGGGCTTTCTTGTAAAGGTCCTCGATCTGCAAGGGAACCAAAATAAATGTTTACTTTAGGTCATCGGGGGTGTATTGAGGCATATATATATATATATATTGATATTTATATATTTTGTGCATCCATAAACAGAAGTTTCAAGCCATGATAAACTTGAACCACGAACACAGGTGACTGAATTTTAATGTAGTCCACTTTTGGCACTGTCAGCGTTGTGGGTTACAAAGCGCATAAGTAATTTTTAAAATGGACGTGTTTGAAACACTTGAGGATATATAAGGACATTTATACATATTTATATATGTATACACATATATAAATGTGCATCCAAAAACAAAAACTCTCAATTAGAAATAAATAAAAATGTGCATCCATAAACAGGAAGTTCAAGTCATTTAAGGGACTTGAACCACGAACGCAGGTGACTAAAATTTTACTGTGGTCCACTTTTGGCACTGTCAGCATTGTTGTTTACAAAACGCAGCAGTAATTTTGAAAATGGACGTCTAAATTCTGCTTCAACAGCTCAATTTTTAACACTCACATTATCGGCGCGGATGCCCAGCTTGATGTAACGGCTGAACTGACGCTTGAAGGCCTCCTCATCCTCCTCCTCCAGGGTGCGCATATAGTCGGCAACATGCTGGCCAAATATATGGGCACGATGAACATCGGCATTGAAGCTCTTGGTCTCAGCAGAGTAGCCGGGGAAACGCTTCACCGAATGGGGGATATTCAGACCACCATCAACAGCACCCTTCATGGCGCCAAAGACACGGGCACCGGTGGTGGTGCGTGCCAAACCAACATCCAAATAACAACGGAATGCACCTGGTCCATCGTCGACAGGCTCAACGTTGAATTCCTCACCGGTGACCTCGGTGCAGCCAGCATACAGCGAGTCCAAGCCCAACTTGTTGAGCAGACGACGAGCGACCAGCAAACCCGTGCAGTAGGCAGCAGCATAGTTGGTTAATCCTACCTATAAATTAATTATTGTCAACAATTAGATTTCGAATTTGTTGATTAAAGATCGAAAAGCGACAACTCACTTGGATGCCATAGTTGGGCAGCTCGTGCGAGTAGGCCGAGCATACGACGCGATCGCCCTCGATGCGAGCATAGGCGATTTGGGCGGTGATGTCCTTGTTGGACAGACGGACAATCAAACGGTACTTGGGCGTATTGTACTTGTTCTTGTCCTGGAAAGTCAGACGCTTTCTGGCATAGTAATCGGTTTTGCCCTCACGACGCCTGCGGAATTTAACTTGGTACCGCTTGAAGTACTGCTTGTTCTTGACTACCTTGACGAAACCCTGTAAAACAAATTTATATTGGTTATTGCTGTTCTGCGGCATGAAACCAACACACTTAATCTCTCAATTAAAACTGCATCCGTGTTTGCTTTTGTCTACTTTTATTGATTTTCACTTGTGTACACTTTAATTGAGACGTTTGTGGTGTTATTTGGTTGATTGGGCTCACCATTTTTCACTTTTTAATGAAAATCAAACACCGACGCAAAATACGCGATGTCTTCACACGTAGGTGAAAAAGAAAAAGGAAGAAGCTGACAGGCCGCTTAGTTGCAGAGTCGTATTCTGCTGCGTTGACATTTGAGGCACAGCTAACTTTGTGCGCATGTCAAAAAAGCGCCAGATGGCGCTAGTGTGCTAATTTTACAATGTGCTAATTTTACAATGGCGCGCAAATATTAATAATTCAAAACAGACATGTACATTTAAAAAATAGTATTTCGCAAAGCGTTATATTTTAATAGCAGATATTCTAAATGCATTTCCACATTTGCTTCAGACTGCTCATCATCACATTGAGTGCCATAAAATCGCTCTATTTCATGTTGTAATTTCTGCAAAATCTATATTTTAGAAAATTTTTTTGGATATAATTTTTTAAAATTATACTTACCAAAAGTTTTTGCTTTGCTTCCTCCGCTGGTGCAACTTGCTCAAATTTTGGGTCCACATTCAAAAAAAGGTGCTGTTTGAGATGATATAGCGCTGAAGCATCTTCACTTTGTAGCGTTAAAATTGTTTTGTTTTCTTCCACGCAACTAGCAATGCTCAGTTTATTATCTATAAAGTATAATTCTAGCTGGTTATTCTCAATTCTGCCACTGGCATTGCACATTTCTGCTATTTGCTCCAAACTTAGTTTGCCAGGCGTTTCAAGTTTTTGCTGCATTTTTGCTTTTGTTTTGTTCGGTGTTGTTCTGCTAAGCATATCTGCGAGATGATATTTATTATATAAATTAAGCGAGTGCAATTGTACACCAAATAGTGCACGATATGTGTCACTGTCCTCCTGCACCACCAATGGCAGCAGAACTGCTGTGGTTTCTGTGTGCAGTTCAAGAAATGCCACCAATTTCAATGTGAATTCAGGCAGTCGCTCATTGCAAACTTTCTTCAGTGGTATTATTATGTGACATTTGCGACTCAATAGCAGATCTGTTGGAACACGATGCACATGCGCCTCATTGCCGTGATAGGCCACCAATTGCCAGTGGCTGCTGTGCAGCAGTTTGTGACTATTGTGGAACGTCAGCTGCAAAATGGCGTAAATGCCGCTGCTATCGAGATCCGTTTGTCTGGCCGTGTGCAGCAGAAGTACATCCTCGCCAAAGAGCGGCAAGTGCCGGCGATATTCCAACTTGGCCGTTAGTCCACTCTCCAGATAGGCTTGGTTGCGTGCAACGGCTATCAATTGTTGCTTCTCCTGCTCCCGCTGGATCGCTGCCAATAGCTCAACCGGCTGTTGTTCATATTGCTGGAGGATCTGCGCATTCCCACGCAGTTGTTCAATGGCCGCGGGCGTCAGGTCGCTGAGAGCTGCCGCATTTTCCTCTGTTTCCGTCAACTGTTTTAGACTGAAGGCAATACGATAGAATATGTTGTTGTCGCTGAGGCAAACCAGCTGCTCGATGTGCTGCACCCAGGTGCAGGCTTGCATGCCTGGCACCGGCTTCGCACACCGCAGCACTTGGCAATCATCCAAAATGGCATTGTATTCAAATCTCAAACGGACCAGTTCCTGCCCATCTGTATAGTACAAATCACTGTTTTCACTGCTCGCATCGTAGTCCAACCATGCTCCACCAGTGTAGTGCATTTGACGCTGCTTGATGCCCAGCAAATTGGACATGTACCAAATGTCTACGTTGCCGCCGCTCAGGTAAACCAAGCATAGGTTCTGCGCGGGGAGTAAATGCATTAATTTAACAGATGTGGCATAAATGCATAAGAGTTCTATGTGATATGCCTGCTCCGATGATTCTGACGATTCCGCCTCATCCGCACCCCGCGGCAGCAGTGCAAATACATGTCCAGAAACACTGAAAATGTGCAATTGCTTATCAGCGCTCGCTCCGGCACCAAATAAACACTGCATGAACTTCAGGTGCTGCTGGGCAACAGTAACTGTGAGAAGACTATAGTCATCATTCCGCCAGTCGCATTGGAATATATTCTGCTCATCGTAGGTTATGTCGTAGCTATGCAGGAGCGTGCTCTCGCCCTTGTCCAAACTGGGCAAATCGACGTACACCTGCAACAGCAACTGCTGCGCATCCTCGTCGTGGCGTATCACGCTGAATCCGTCGTTGGTGCGGGCAAATGAACGCACACCTTTCAGCCAGGCTATCGCATGCAGCGACTTGATGGAGCCAAAACAATGCACACGTCCATCCGACATTAACAACAGTGTGTTATACTCCAGCATGTGTATGCTTCGCACATGAGTGTTCCTCGGCAGTGGTATGCGGACCTTTGTCATTTCCATTCGGTTTGTTTTCTTCGATCTCTTGAATCGGTAATTAAGCAAATAATGCTCGTTCCAGGTGACGAATACGGATTTCGTTTTGTTGTTGCTGGACGATGAGTGGCTAATTAGGCCGCAAGGCTGGAACAGCGTATCATCTTCAATGGACCAAAGGGCGTCCTCGTCGTCGCTCCCGACTTCATTATGTTCGTCCAGTCCGTTGATTTCCATGATTCTTCGAGGGAAAAGTCACATTCAAATGCATAGAACCACAAACAGCTGATGAGAAACAGTGTGACCTTTGCACTTGAAATGATGACAAAAACGAATACGTTGACTTTTGAATGGCAAACATATGTGACTGTTACTTTTGCATAATTGTTATCAATAATAATAAATAGATATAAAGTCTATATATTTACATATTTGAAAAGTGTTAAGCTGGGCAGCAGCTACACTGAACAAAAATCCAGTTAATGTGTTATTCAAGCTGTTATATTCAGCTGGCGAACTGGATGACTATTGCTCATCTCTAAATACACCGGTTTATTCAGAATTTGTTAAAACAGCTTGGATTATTTTTGAAAAGCTTGGGCTATTTCTTACAACAACAATGGGATTGCTGATGCGTTTGTGTCGACGCAGCTATGCGACAAAGATCACGGATCACCAGGCAGCGGTGATGGCGCGTAGCCTGCCCAAGCGCCAAGCGCTGCCAGGCGTGAAGAACATAATTGTGGTTGCATCTGGCAAGGGTGGCGTTGGCAAAAGCACTGTGGCAGGTAAAATTTTACTTATTCCATGATAAATGCAAGCAGTATGTAATGCGTACTTATTGCAGCTAATTTCGCCTGCAGTTTGGCCAAGTTGGGGGCACGCGTCGGCTTGCTGGATGGCGACATATTTGGTCCAAGCATACCACTGCTAATGAACCTGCACAGTGAGCCGCGGGTGAATGACAAGAATCTAATGTTGCCGCCACAGAATTATAATGTCAAGTGCCTGTCCATGGGCATGCTGACGCCGCCCGATGGCGCCATCATTTGGCGCGGTCCGCTCGTCATGTCAGCTATACAGCGTTTGCTTAAGGGCGCCGATTGGAGTCCTTTGGATGTGCTGGTCATTGATACGCCGCCAGGCACTGGAGATGTACATCTATCGCTAACTCAGCATGCACCCATTACGGGCGTCATATTGGTCAGCACACCGCACAAGGCCGCCGTGGATGTGACTATTCGTGGCGCCGAAATGTACCACAAACTGAAAGTGCCCATCTTTGGTCTGGTCGAGAATATGCGTTACTCTATCTGTGACAATTGCCAACATCGCCTCGAGTTCTTCAAGCAACAAACTGAGATTACCCACGACAAGCTGCCCAAGACGCTCATCTCATTGCCCCTTGACGCACACATCGCCGAGTGCGGCGAGTCCGGTGTTCCCATTGTGATTAAACATTCAGATTCTGAGCATGCAAAGCTATTTAACCAACTAGCTGGCCACATTTGGGGTCTACTACAAAACGGGGAGCCTAACGAGGCTAAAATAAAATGATTTTAATGTCTTAATATTAATATTTTTCGAGTTGTTTTGTTTTGTATTATTTTAAACAGAATGAATAGCAATTTTTGTGATTTTTTTTACATAAAAAAAATGTATTCATTGTGAATACGGATATTTCCATTTCGGAAATGCTCAGAGTGATATTTGCTATAATAATGAAAATTTAAGTAAAGTAATTCAAGTAAAAATGTGGAGGGAATTGAATATTTACTTTTTACTTGAGTTTTGTGCTATGTATACACTTTTGCCTACGCTCAAACTAGTTTTTTTATTCTGAATGCAGCAATCATTACTTCAAGTAACATAAAAAAGTTGATCTCATAAAAAAAGAATTCATTCAATTAAGACAGGATTAATTACATTAAATAAATGTTTTGGCTGAACTTTTGAGTAAGGTCATCTATGATTCTCATTCTTGATTAGGGATAATTCTCATTGGCTGTTTTCTTAACTGCTAAGACAACTTGTCTCCGGAAACCCAAAAAATAGAAGTTCTCAAAAAAATTCGGAAGAAACTGTTTACGGTTTAATTAAATTAAATTTCCAAGTGGTTTTAAAGAAATTAAAGAATGCTTGTATGTCAAGACATCGGACGTATGCCAAGTACAATCAAGATAGTATCAAATCAAAAGTAGATGTCTCCAATTAAACGGAAGAATCTGGCTATATGCTCAACTAGAATACATATACTTTTTGTGATGTCAGGAATAATTTCACATTCGATCTTAGAAAGAAAGTACACACAAAAACAATTTGTAATTGAAAATTTTCCAATTTATTTATTCTTCTTCTTCTTCAGTTTCTTCATCTTTTTCATGGCTTTGCGATGCGCAGATTTATCGGTGCGCTGAATGACCTCTTTGTACTTTCGTTTGTTGAACTTTTGGAAGTCCTCATCGGCGAGTAGCTCATCAACCAGAGATTTTTTGGTCTTTCTCGTATGCCGCTCGCTGTAATAGTCGAGTGGCGAATGCTGCACTGTGCCAACTTGGAAGTATTTGGGCAGCACTCTGAGGTCGTTCTTCTTGTAGAAATGCTTGGGATCCAAAACCGAACGCATTTGTATGATCTTCAGCTCATTGCGCATTTCCCTTGTGATTTCTGTTGCTGGCAAATCAAACCAGCCGCTGCCCTTCGTCTTGCTGCGTTCAGACTGTAATTAATAATAAGATTCTTTTATATTTGGATATACATATATATAAAGATAATTAGCATAGTTGAGCACTCAGATTACTAAAGACGTCGTCAATGTGGCAACAACACCTGCCTCGATAACTACTGTGCATGGGGCGACAATAGCACCTAGCGTTTCATTTAAAATAAGATAATTGTGAGCCCACGCCTAAATTATTTGGCTTTAGCTTGAGCGACAAACAACAGTCTAGCGTAAAAATGGCAGCGTTTGTTGTTCCGCTGGCCTTACAGCGACCGCCGCATGCTCCGAGACGGCCGCTAAGATTACAACGGACGAAACTGTGTGCTTTTGTCTATTGAGTCGTTGACACGGCAGTTACCTCAAGCAGCAGGTGTCTGCGCTGGCTGCACCCTTGGTGCAGCTTCGGTTGTCGAATATTTCATCACAGTTGCTTCACTCAAAACCAGGTGTTCTGGTACATTTTGGAGTACTTACTCTATTCAAGATGGGCTGCCTGCGTCTGGAGACGGTGGGCAAGGCTTGCAGCTTCTCAATGCCAGTTATGCGCTTCGCCTGCTCCATATCCACTTCCACATTCGCTTTGCGCACACTTAAATCCTCTCCAATTTCGGTATGCAATTCTGTTATGCGATGGCGTTTCTCAACTATGCGTGTGCCCGCATTTTGTACGGCTTCGTTGACGCGCTCAGCAACTTCATCCAGTTGTATGGCCACTTTGGATGGCATTTGCATACTCGTTTCCTGCTGCTGCTGCTGCGTGCTGGAGGCGATCACTTTGCTAACATTTTTGCAGCTAACTTTGACACCAAACAACTCCACTTCACCCGATTCCTCCTCCTCGTCATCTTCGCTCTGCTCCTGTCGCTCCCTGAATATACCATTGTACAATGCAGCGGATGGCTGCTCGGCATTTGAACCACACAGTTGCTGGTCGCCAGCAGTGTCCAGCATAAAAAACGATGCCATTATTTTTATGTAGATGCAGCAGTTAAGAAAAACGCGCAACGCATGTGCGTCGAATTACAACTGTGTCGGTGTGCGTGGCGACTGTCCAAAAATGAAAAAATCAACAATATCTGGTCACACTGCAAGAGAGGCCACACGTGTTTTGATTTCAGCTGTCGGCGTACGCTAGCAAAATCGCTTCGAAGATAAATTGATATTAACTATAAATAATGTCAGTTTTGTATAGTACAAACCAAGTAGATTATTTTCGTTGTTGTTTAATTCATAAAACGTAAAGGGCTTGGCCACAATCGACAGCTTAACACCAGTTGCTGATTGGTCAAACTTGTCACACGTCAATTGCGCATTATTAGGAAATACCTTGAAAATTAAAAACGATACGCAATGTCTGTGTATAGTAGCAAAACGGTTAATACGTCCATATTGAAGGCCTTCTCCAATGCGGACAGAGAGCGCGTGAAGACAGCAGCCATAAACAAGGTGCGCTTCGTAACGCCCAAGGAGAAGGGCATCGTCGAATCGGTGCGAGTCGCTTTGGAGGAAAAAAATTTCCATCTTGTGCAGGAGTTCACATACTTTCTGTGCGAGGCGGAACTCAGCGTAAGTTATAAATATATCTAAATGATATACACACATATATTTATTGACCACTTGCCACAGGATGAGGAAGTCATTGAGATTATGAAGGATGCGCGGCAAATCGTGCACAGCCTGACAACGGACTTTGCCAATTTAGTGGAGGCACTGCTCTCGCTTAATTGGAAGAAACGTAGCTGGGATGCGATTCAGGCGTACACTGAATTCAGCGTAGATGTTATGATTGGTCATAATTTTTATATTAACATTGGCATTACGAAGCTAATCCTTAATTGGATACCCAACGATCAGGAGTCGGCGGAGTGGATTAACGGCTCGCCATCAGACCGTGTGCGTGCTGATCTGGAAATTGTACACAGTCTGCTCAATCGGATTCTCACAGCTGTGCCCATGTCATTCGATGTCATCAACGACACGATTGCAGCCAAGTTTCCCTACTTTAAGAAGCCAGCCCACGTCATCGCCGGCTATTTGCACAATGTGCTCTGGCTGATGGAGTCGAAGCCGGTGTTTGAGGAGATGCTGCTGCAGCTGGTACTGCAAAAGTAAGTTTATAAACGGAACTGTTTCTAGTTACTTTAATAATGTAAATTCATATTTTAGACTGCTCGTACTGGATGTGAATGCGCCACGCGAGGAAATCGAAGCTCTCAAGGAGGAAACAGATGATGAGGATGATAAGATGGATGATGCCATCTTTCAAATGGATGATGTGAACACATCACAGCAAAAGCAGCCGCAACCCCTAGAGCATTCCATTGCTCAAACGCTGGATATATGTCTATTGAAGCTTTTAAAGTTCCTGGACGATAAATGCCGTCCGCAGCCGGATTGCAGCGATGATCAGCGCATAGCGAAAAGTCGCTTCTTCAAGATGCTCATGTACATATTCGACGAGGTGCTGCTGCCCAGCCACAACACCCATCACGTGCAGTTCGTCATTTTTCATGCGTGCAGCATACGTCCCCTGTACACGGAAATCTTTCTCAGTGGTCTCTGGAAGAAGGTGCAGAATCCCAATGTGTCTTCGGTCAAACGCCACGCAGCTGTTAGCTATATTGCCAGCTTTCTGGCACGTGCACGCTTTGCTCCCTTGAGGTAAGTATTTTTATCTAATGAAATCATAAATATTAGCGAACTATTCGGTTCATTCAAGACTTAAATCTGAGTGGAAATGAGAGAACTTTGCAATTGTTCGTTAGATATCATCAATAATATTCATTAATTAATATACATTTAATTTCAGCACTATTACCTACTATTTGAAGGAGTTGAGCAACTGGGCCAACACCTACATTAATGATTCGGATGAGTTTAGCAGCAAAAATTGTTCACTCAAGGCAAACATGGTATTTTACTCCGTCTGCCAAGCCATGTTTTATTTAATCGCATTTCGTGCACGCGACTTGACCATCCATCCAAAGAGTAAGTACTCCTTGTATATACACTCCACATATACATAATAACTGATTAACTTACTTCTGGGCAGATCTAACTTTACTGAGCACACTGCAACTGTCCCGCTTGGCCATGTGCCACTTTAATCCGTTGCGCTATTGCCTGCCGCCGGTGGCCACCGCATTTGCTGGTGTTGCTCGGACGCACCAGTTGGCTTACTGCCACACTGTGCTGGAGCGCAATGCACGACGCAAACTGGCCACCTTCTATGGTCACGACAAGCTGATGCCCGAGGAAATACTTGAGACGTTCTTTCCCTTCGATCCATACATTCTACCCCTGTAAGTGTGCAAGTAGAGATTGGAAAATATGTGTGGCTTAATCGAAATCAATCTTTGCAGATCGAACAAATTTATAGAGCCCAATTATCTAGTCTACAAAGTGCATGAGCTGGACGAATCGGCAGAATGTGCGGCGACGGAGGCAGTGCGTCGCAAGCGCGGCGATTCCGAAATGGTTGAGGAGGATGATTTCATACTGGCGGACAAGCGACAGAAGCTAAGCGAACTGTCCAACAGTCAACAGTTTGACAAACAGTTCTACTATGGCACATCGCCGGGATTTAATCAATGAGATATCTGTGCGAGGGGAGGGATAGTTGTAATAGTAGTATTGATACATATTTATAAAATATATATATATATAGATCTCTATTATTATTATTAAACCTCATCACAAGATATAAGCGCATTGTAGCCAGAGGCATTCCTGTGCCGTTCACCTCGCACATGCTCCAACTTGTGCCCCGACGTTCGAAACGTTTCTTGGCAAATTTCACACTTGAATGGCCGCTCGCCGGTGTGCAGCCGCAAATGTAACAGCAAGGAGGTCCTGGACGCAAAGGATTTGCCACACACCTGACAATTTATGCGATTGCGCTTTGCCTGATGTGTCTGCAGGTGCCGGTTTAATGTTAGCTTGAGCGTAAAGCGCTTCTGGCACACTCCACAAATGTGCAATTTGAGCTTGGAGTGCGTCAACAGATGCCGTTCCAGATCGTGCAGCTTTTTGAAATTCTTGCCACACTGCAGACAGCTGTGCTTTGGGATTCTACGCGTGACCAGCAAACGCTTTAGGTGGGTCACCATATGGATGCGACAGTTGAATTTTCTCCTGAACTGTTTCTCACAGTAGATGCATTTGTAGCTGCGCTGTGAAATCGCTGGCTGGGGCAACAGCGGCACCAGTTTTGCCACCTGCATATCTGCCTCAAGTTTCTCGTGTGCCTCGCAGGCTGCTTGGCTGAGGAATGTTCGCTTGCACTGCGCACAGCTGTAAACCGAATCCGGATGCTCTGTCGCCAAATGTTTGTGCAGCTTGGCTTTTAAACTGTAGCTAGCGTTGCACTCGCTGCATGTGTGCTTCTTTGGCGTGGTGGCATGCAACCTCTTCATATGCTCATTCAACTTGGCCTGGGTGGCAGAACGATGCAAGCAAAAAGTGCAGCAATAAGGCATCTCTTTGGTATGCGAGCGTCGATGTCTAAAATGCAATAATTGTTGTGAATTTATTTTAATATGTTCTGCTCATTGCGGATAATCGAAAAATTAAAAGAACCACAAAACTAAAATTTCCATCCTGAAACTCTGTTGAAATCGTTAAATTTCTTCTTATAGCCTTTTTGTATCTTTGGATAATGCTTCCACATTAAAACCACAAATAATAAATGTTGTTTCCCTAAAATAAATATATACAATTATAACAACGTTGCTTAGAATAGTCGCATATCTTAACATATGAACTACTTTTGCAATATTTATGTGTTAAATGTGATTGTATTTAATCTTGAGCAACTGTTTCTAGCTGTTCAACTTACCGGATGAGATCGTAGGTCTTGCTAAACTCCTTGGAGCAATAGTCGCATACATAAAAGTAGCTAACACGCTGCTGGCGACGCTGTACGCGCTGCGTGGGGAGAAAGTGCAACTCGCCCCTTGGATTCAGCGCATCCTTGACCTGCACCACTTGACAGCTGATTAGCTGCTGTTCCTCGAGAGGAGTTTGTACATCTTTGTTAGCGACAATTGTGTGACTGACTTGCAGTGCTTTTAAGGCAGCTAGAGCCTGTTGTGCCACCTGGGAAGAATCGCTGTCATTGACCTCATCATGCTTAGTGCGTAGGTGGCGCCGCAGTGAACTTTTCTGTGTGAATTGACTGCAGCATCTGTTGCACTGTAAACATTACCATTCATAACCCCAATTTTAATGTGAAACAAAGCCAGGAGTGACTTACTGCAAAGAATTTAGCTCGACTGTGCACAACTAGATGGCGATGGAGCAGAGCAGGCTTCAAAAAGCACTTGCCACATGTTTCACAAATATTGGAATTATTATTTTTTCCAACAGCTTTCATTTTTCATTCAATACAAATCTAAAACTTGTTTGCAAGCCACAATCTAGACGAAGAAGAAGAAGCATGCCATTCACAGCTGTTTATGCTTCTTCTAGCCAAACTTTGATTCCTTTAGCAACATTTTATTATTTACCCTTAAAATAAACACACACTTTTTTGATTGTTTACGGCAATCGGATGGAAAATCAATTCTATTTCGAACTTAGTTTCGAATCAAACCAATCTTCACAGTTACAAATTGTAAACAACAAAAAACACATCCTTTTTCTACTTCGCTTTCAGTTTATGCAACGAACTCGTATTGAATTGGCGCCAGGGCGATGGGTTCCTCCAGTTTCTTGACGAAATGAGCCTTCTTTGGCTGCTCAGGCTGACGCTTGAGGTTCACCCAGATCTTCTTCTCCTTGGCATCCTTGAGCAGACGCTCGTTCTCCTTGACGCGGCGCAGGAAATCCTCACGGCACTTGGAGTGATGCACATGCTCGATGCGAACATTGATGCGCTTAGCGAGAACCTTGCCGCGCACACGTTTGTTTACAATCACACCAACGGCATGTTGTGTCACATTGAAGATGCGGCCAGTCTTGCCATGGTACGCCTTATAGGGCATACCCTTCTGCACGGCACCGTGTCCCTTGATGTCGACAATGTCGCCGTTCTTGAAGACACGCATGTATGTGGACAGGGGAATGACGCCATGCTTGCGGAAGGGGCGAGAGAACATGTCTCTCGTGCCGCGGCGGTAACCCTTTGAGTTGGTCATCTTATCGTTGACTGTTGTTCCCTGTAAAACAAAAAAACAAGCACTTTAGCAACATTTCACTCAGCGGACACGCGAGCGCAATTGGTATCGCGTTCAACTGCATTGGTTTGCATTTAAATGCAATTTCCACAAAATAATTGGCTAACCTTTTACGAATCGACGTCCACGCGGTCGTGAAGATGGGGAAAGAAAGAAAAATGGCTACCTGTTTGGCGTTGCCACCGTTGACATATTGCAGGGTTGCTTCTGGCATACAGCAAGGCGCTGTAGCCCTGGCATAGAGTTGCTCTTTTGATTGCCAGCAGAGCCACTCGTTATCGGTTTTGATTCAAATATGTTTTTTTTTTTTGCAACTGAACGTTGTTTAAGTATTTCATTTTATTAAGTTAAAAAAGTTTTACAAATTCAACAGAAAACTAATTAATATTACATTTTTGCTTAAGTTTGAGCACTTTGGTACACACACACATATGTAATAGTAAATGTCATTTTAATATCTCGTTACAAATAATTTATATTTTAACTATCGTATATAAATGGTGTTATATAGGCATATATATATATATATGTTTATATAACTTGTCCGTTTGTTTTCTATATAGCTTATAATTTTTCACAAAAATTCTAAGAATGTGGCGTCGTTTGTCGTTTGCAATTATTACATGATTGGAATATCAAAGCACAAAACTACTAAAGTTAGATGCGGGCATTTTCGTCAAATACATAGTAGGTTGTTGTACGTATATGTGTATATATAAAGTATGTATATTTAGCTTATGCTTATGATGCATGTGCTACGTATATATAATAAATATTGTAAATAATTTTTATAAATATATATATGTAACGCATATAAGCATGTGTATACCAATATAAATGTATAAACAGCACATACACTTTTGCTTGACTTGCACACATCGATAAAACATAAAATTTAACATTAAGTGTTCCTTTTACTTCTTTGCATTTATATTAATTAATAATTTAGTTTAATAGGTTATACTTTTCTCGTTTCGTTTGGTTGGTTGATTGGTTTTTTTTCAGCTTATACTTTCTTCTTATTCTTTTTTGCATTTTATATTATTATTATTATTATTATGTATTTGTATATATATTATTGGCTGTTGTTTTTCTGGATTTCACAAATCCCACTACAAAAGCAGTCTCTCAAACTAGTCCGAAGCTTCTCAATGCAATGGTTGTTGTCGATTTTGATGCCACATGATACTCTTCTTCCGTAATTTCGTTGTCCATGTTGGTTATTGGTGATTTGACTCCTAAGTCGACTCCTTCTTGTTGTTGTGCCCGTTCTCCAGCGGTCTCTTTGGCAAGCTGGCACAATTGCAATTGCTATCATCATTGGGCAGTGTCGCTTGATGCTGCTGTAGCTTCTGCTCCAGGCGAGTTTTGTACGTGTACAACGACTGCAACGGCACATGCAACAATTCCACAATCTGCGTGAAGTTTAGCTCTGCAATTGAATCGATTAACGCAAGTCTGTTTAATTTGTATATATATTTTCTTGAACATACCATTCTCGGCTGTGATGTAACCGTGTCGTATCAAGAAATCAATAACCACTGGCGCTGAGGTCGTCTTGAAGTCGGGCGTGAACACACGCTCCATACACTCATTGGCTGGCAGCAGTTCGAAGGCTTGCACCTCGCCATCGGCATTGTGTGGCACAAAGTCGACTGGCAGCTCCAAATCAAAGACATATTCAGTATTGGGGAATAGACCCTGGTCGCTCTCAAAAAAGAACGAGACACAGCCGGCTGAAACCAAATTCTTGACGAGATCACATGGAATGGATGCCTCCTCGCCGGCCTCCTTAATGGCCGTCTCCATGATGCCATATCCAACGGATAGGCCACCACCAACCATATTATCCCATTTGCCCGGCCACGTCTCTTTGGTGTTGGATCGCTGCTGCAGCCAAATGCACAAGCCATGCTTCGGATGCCTCACATACCCATTGATATCGACGCCATATTTGCGCACCCCGAACAGTGGTGTCGCCGCCCGTTCCATCTTCAGCAATGCCTTGTGCTCGGACTTCACCTCAAAGCACTCATCCCGCCAGCCCTGCAGAGCCGAGAACAGACCATCGCTGCGAAGATCACGTAATACTTTCTCCAATTGTGCGGTGCGCTCATTGTAATCACGAAATGCCGGATTCAGCTCCACAAGCCCCTGTCAATTATATATATAAATATGCATATATATAAAAATTATCTAATTGTCTAGATTTTATTTGTTTAATAATGCTCACCTGCTTGGTATATTCACAGTCACGTATGCAAAACACTTCCGGATACTTGAGCAGCTGCTTGAACACATCCGATTTAATGAGGCCAACTTGCTGTCCCTCAACCAAGAATGGACGTATGTCGCCCTTATGAAAGCCTGTAACACAATTAACGTTAATTAGCTGCTTGACAGACAATTTGCAATTGATATGGACAAGCGCATTATGAAGGACTCGGCAAGAAATAAACTTTGTTTCTAATTGGGTTGGCAAGCAATACACGGTGGTCTTGTTTTTATTGGTGTAGTCTGGTTTATCTGCCTAATCTTATATATGTAGTTCTGTGAGCATATATAAGCTTATTCACATTTTAATTAATAATATATAGCAGAAAACTTTGTACCCCCACTGTTTATATGAGTGTATGACAAACACTTGAAACACCTTTTCAACTAATACTTTTATCACCTTGAGTCATTTTTTGACAGGTCGACATATGAAATAAAAGGCAATTGCCTTTTTGTAATAACAGCGTATGAAATGTATAATTGTGTTGATTATTTCGAGAGCTATACATAAATAGATTCAAATAATTTGAGACAGTACTACTGAATTTCTGCTTATCACCTGACATTGATAGTTTTATTTATATATATGTAATTATGATTAACCGTCTAGTGAACCTTAATGGGAATTTCCGGTTGAAATTTGTGCAGGGTTCATTAACAAACAAAAAGATTTAAGGTTCACTCGAGGCTCAATTGGAAACACACACAGCACGCGCTGTTCGATAAGATATGCCCCCAAATACCTATTAGGAATTATACTTTTCTACTCTGTGTACTTTAGCTTGAACTCAATCGATTTATTATTGTTCACAAATTTAATAAAATTAATCAAAGACTATAGATAAAACTTTATAGTCTTTGTTTTAATGCAATTGTTTAGATTTTGAATGTGTATATTAAAAATATATATAATACAATATATTTATTTATGCTAAAACTAAATGTGTGAGCTAGGACAATTCAAGCCATGGTCCAGGGTATCACTCAGCCGAGGAGCTCTCATTTAAGTACAAACATAAAAATTAAAAAATAAGCAAATATTCCGAATGACGTGTGTATAGTAAAAATACATATAATATATTATTATCAAACACACATTTCTACGTATATAAAAGTTGAAGCAATTTTGCTGGGACAGCTGTTTTAATTGGCTGTCAGTTTTTGTCTTTATAGACAGCTGTTTTTTTATTATTTAAAGGTAGCTCAAATTCCATTGTTTTCACATACGTTTTTTACAAGACAAACATGTTCATTCATAGTCTTATCTCGCCTTGAATTATCGCTGCTCCCTCAATGAAATAATGCTAATTGCTCGAATCTTTTATCAAGTTGCGTCTGCTGATAATGAATTCCAGTGTTAAAAAGTGGATTGTGCTGGTTGGCGAGATGGTCGCCGAATTTACAGTTTGCCAAACTTAATTGGCATCACTGGGCAAACTGAAGCGAATGTAAATACGAAAACAAACGAGGCATCAAAACATAAGCACAAAGAAATATCAATTCAAAGGCAAACGATAAAAGTGGCTAGAAATCAAATCAAAACAAAGCAGAAATTATACTGATCGACTGTATATAAATTTATATATACAGAGAAAGACCTGTTTATAAAGACAACAAAATACTCAATAAAACCCAATGAATACTTGAGTATTTAAATTTGAGATGCGTAGCAAAACAAGTTGCAAAACTTGGAAGCAAAAAACAAAAACAAAAGCAAAAACAAACAAATGGCGAATAGCAGAAAGCGCGCATGCCGCTTATCAACGGCGATACACAGACCCAAAGAGTGGTAAATACAGATTGAACAGAGAGAGAGAGAGAGAGCGGGAGAGAGTTCATTTCTATCTCAATTAGGTGAACATATGGGCCGATTTTTTTTTTTTAATTTTTGCACTTAATGAAGCCATAAACATCTATCTCTAAATTTATACACATACATAGTATAGTATAGTTGTGTGATTTGTGTTTGTTTCTATATTTGTGAGATGTTTCAGCTGTTTTGTTGTCGCTAAAAATGCCAAAAGTTGACCTCAAGGTGATGCGATAAAAGTCTTGTTACAACCGCAAACACAAGCACAACTGACAAATAATTTGCAGATCGTAAGATCGTAAGATCAAAATAAATATATATATATAGTTCGTTCGTTAAGTTCGTGCATACTTTAATTTATATTTATTCATATATGTTCATATATAATTGATCTTACATAAGAGTTGCTTGCTTCGTTGTTTAACAATTTGTTGCTATATTTTTTTGTTCTGTTTAAGTGCAGTAAAATGCATAAAAGTTTTGTGGCTGGTAATGCAGTAATCCGATAGGCGGACAGCTGTTCGATTTATATACGATCACCGTTTATTACAAAGAAATGCAAATGCGAGCATCACATTACTAACGAGAAGAGAGCGCAACAGGTGAATTTATCGACACTGAAGTTGTGTAGATCGATAACAATAACAATAACAACTTGCGCCGATAGAAGGACATTCTTTGCGCAATTGCAATTTGCTGATCGTAAAAATAGCCAAAAAGGAAATTAATTTCAATGTCAGTGGATGCTGCTAAAACGAAATGGCAATGAGACAGTTGGCAGACGTCACCAGCAGCAGCAGCAGCAACAACAACAACAACAGCAGCAGTTGCATACACACACACGCGCACACAAGTAAGGAAACTAATCGATAATTCGCACTCGCTCTTTCTCTCTCTTGCTCTCACACTTTGCAGCAATTGCAGTAAACTATGCTGTGTGTGCTGCACCCATTATTACATTGGCGCCCAGGCCGCCCACAATATGTGTGTGTATGTGTGTATACAGGGTCAGCAGCGGCCAAACCCATTTTCATGGCCACAAGGCATACCCAAAATAACAACAAAAAATAAATAAAAGACGGAGATGAATTTTTTTGTGTGGCATTACTCACCTGTCAAATAGAAATTATTAAATTTTTGCGCTAGTCCCAGAAGACGCGACAATTTCACCTCGGTGGACGACATTGAAAGAGAGGGGTTGGTGAGGGGAAGGGCGGCTCGGCGCAGCCAAAGTAAATACAAATATACACTTTAAACGCCGGCTACCTTTGCTCCCACTCCACTGCTCCTACTCAACACGGCAACAGCAACAACCACAACAACGATAACAATTGGTAATTACGCGCTTAAATAATATATATATATTTGGAGCTGCTGTTTTCCGTGTCGATTAGCTTGACGCTCCTTGTTTTTGCTGGCCGCACAATTTACTTATTATTAATTTTCACGATTTTAATTAAGGATAATGGACAAACCAACGACCCAAAAAAACCAAACCATCAAAACACAACCGCACTCAACGAAAACCACAGCCGTAGTGCTGCAAAATACTCGCTTAACTCGATAACGATTACAAACTCAGCTTGCTCCCTAGTGTTGCCCAACAAGAGGCAAACAGCTGATTTTTTGGAACAGCTGATTTTTTGAAACAGCTGTGCTAGCTGCTCCATACATGCCTTAGCAAATTTAAATTGCTAGTGCTGTGTAACAATCGCATGTAGTGTACTTCACAACACACGTGCGATACAAATGTCACGCTGACAAGAGAACAAAAAAAAATTTAGGGAAAAATAGTAACATAGGCGGAGCACGGAAAACGCAAACCGTATCCACATTTGTGTTTTTTGGGCTACAAATAATTTGGCAGCTAATTTATCATAAATTAGTAACCTACCTTGGCAACGCAAGCGATTAAATTCCAAAATGAGTGACGACTACTTACGGAAACCATTCTCAATAGCGCCATCGCCAACCGGTAAGCAAAACGCAAATTACGCAATCTGAAATTATTATTTCATCAATTTGTTTTTGAATGAGTGCTTGCAGTTGACGATCCACAGACTGCAACAACAAACTACACACCGGCAACGAGTACATTTAGTAGTGCTCCGGTCTCACCGTACCTTAACTATGATTCACGATTCCTGCAGCAGGCGCAGCCAGAATTCATCTTTCCCGAGGGCGCAAACAAGCAGCGTGGTCGCTTCGAGTTGGCCTTCTCACAGATCGGCTCATCGGTGATGATTGGCGGTGGCATTGGTGGCCTCGCTGGTGTCTACAACGGCTTTAAAGCGACGAATGCGCTCAATCAGACGGGGAAACTCCGTCGTACTCAGTAAGTTGGCAATCAATCACAAATATTTAATTTATCACCTTAATGGTTTGCTTAAGAAACATTTCAATTTGTTTAATCCATTTTGTCAGAAGCTATTGGTTTTTTAAATTTAACTTATTTGCTGAAAATATTCATTTGACCATGCGTGTCGTAAGGGAAAGGTTCATATTACATATATACATATAAATGTATTTAAATGTATATATTTATTATATACCGTCCTTTCACCTTATATAATAATTATCTACTTAATAAATAAGTTAACTTACTGTCCACAATTTTGGAAGGCAGGTCAGGCAGATACCTCTTCAAAATTATGCAGTATTTCAGTTAGCCTAAACCCATTAAGAATGGGTAAATGTTGTAATGAAGTCGTCTCCGACCATATAAAGTATATATATTATTGATCAACATCAAAAATCAATGATAGTTACTATATATAATTATTTTAATATACTATTGAGACTTTGTTAAGATAAGAAAATCAGATAATGTTAACCAATGTTTATTTTGAACAAACCACATTGGATGCAGGGTATCCTAGTTTGGAATAAAACCTTCTAAGACTTGTTCCAACCAGAGTATTCTAATAAGTGGTATATGGTATATTAAATCTGGTATGGAAAACAATATTACATTTTCCTTTGATTGCAGATTGATCAATCACATTATGAAACAGGGTTCGGGTACAGCGAATACCTTGGGAACGTTGGCTGTGCTCTACTCGGCGTGTGGAGTGTTGTTACAGTATGCTCGAGATCAGGATGATAATGTAAATACTATAATAGCTGGCTCCGCCACAGGACTGCTATACAAATCCACAGGTGAGCAACAATGGAAATAAATGTATACTATTTATTTATTTTATATTTATATTTATTTTTTTAATTTTTAATTTTAGCTGGCCTGCGAAAGTGTGCCTTGGGCGGTGCTATTGGTTTGGGCATATCGTCGCTTTACTGCTTATATCTGCTGTCGCAGGAGAACAACAACACAAACTCAAGTCCAAAATTCCTGTAGATGGCGTCGCCTAGTCCTCGTGATCCTGGGCAATCCTGGATTCAGGATGTGTGTGTGTGTAGTAGTCGCCTCGATGCGCTTAACCGTCAAATATATGGTTTTGTTTTATATATTATAAAAATACATATATATTATATATATATATTTAGATTTATCCGGACACTGTAAGAAATAACATTTTTAGTTTAAATCAAAGCAACCACCAAACAACTAAGATGTGAATGAATGTAAAACGAGCAAATAAAGTTGTATGCTTTGAATGCAACTTGCCATCAAAATTAAAAGATTTATTTTGTTTTTAACGCCATACTACACTGAACTACACAAAAAATAAAGCCAGTGCTGCAGAATGCCTAATAGTCCAGTGCGCCAGAATCGTCATTAGTCAGTGCCAAAACTTTATCGCCCTTGCGCTCGTCCATGCCATTGTTGGCTGGTGCCTCGCAGCTGGTGTCTTCGGTGGAGCAGGTGTGACAATGACAGTTGATGGCTTCCATATAGCTATATTTGCGTATACTCTCATCCGCATCGGGATGGCAGTTCTTGAGCATGGCCACCGATGGCTGACGATTCGCATGCACACATACCGGATGGAAGGAGCGCTTATATGGGAATTTCCAATCGGATATTTCGCTGGAATCGCAACGACCCCAACAGCTCCAGACGCTCACATGATCCCAGCATTCGTGACCCTGAGCATCCGATTGAGTCACCCTGTACGTGTACATGCGACGATGGCAGCCAAGTGGCGCAATTGTCGGTCCACTGCTTACTGGCTGCAGCTCCACCAATTGTGCGCTTGCCACACGCAACACTGGCGATGCTACAAATAGCATGCACATTCTACAAAAAATTAATAAAAAATTTGGAGTTTTATTTCTCAATTTTACAATGTCCGCTATTTGCGTCACTTACAACACTGCGGCGAGCATTGCAAAGTTGTGCAGCTTTCTTTCTTTCTTTTTATCGTTGGTGCTCACGTCGCAGTCGCCTGCGATATGATTTAGGTTTTGATTATTCCATCATATTTATAGTCAGCTTCTGGCTGTGACGTCTGCGCACCAGTTTGTCCTTTGCTTTCAATTGTTTTGCCTTAAAATGGAGGTGGTAATTCTTTGAATTTTGCATATTGCAACTGAAGCATTTGGCATTACCAATTTAAATTCAAATTTAATGTGCGTTAAGAGTGTAAAAATATAATTTTTCATTTGCCACTATTAATATTCTGTGTTTTATTGTGCATATAATATTTGGGTACTGTTGTTTATTACAAGCAACATATATTTATTCATTACCAGACTTAAATGAAGTAATTAATAATTTTGCATTAATTTTATTCAAGTGTTGTGCGCATCGGACAAGCTCGTCGTTAAAAAGTCTTCAGAAGCAGAATTTTAAATTAATGTTTAAGCTTAGACTTTTTCTTAGTTAATTGTTAAAAAAACTATTAATTAATTTAATGTCACAGCTTGTTTGGTTCCCCACACGGATCTAAAGGCGAGTTTACCATATTAAGAACTGAATTCACCAATTTTTTTTTTAATTTTCAAAATGACTTTGGCCCAATCATCCAAAGGTGGGCACTCTGAGAACATATTATTGATGATTGTAAATCAGCCAATTATGAAAAAAAGAAAAATAAATTCCAAAAAGTTAGTCAGCCGGTACGAATTACTTAAGTAATAAGTCCAAACAATAAATTAATGCAATAATGTTGGCCCGGGCTTATAAAAAAGTTCTCGATATTAGAAACAGAAATATCTCAATTAAACACACGATAAAGTCAATTTTATTTTCAACTCATTAAATTGATATATACCAATATATTTGTGCCGTCTTTCCAATAATTAAAACAATCCATAATATATATATATATAAACTTTATTTTTTTCTATTAATTTTTGTGTATGGTGCAAATAATTTTGTTATATTACTTCTATTTCAATTTCGATCACAGAATTTTGTTAATTCACATGTCCAAAAAATGGTCCATGCTATGCAATAATAATTTTTGAATGGTTAACCGAGAAATGTGTGCGTTAATCGAAAGGGTCATTTAAAAAAAAGAGTATGGAAAAAATACGGTTTCTATGGACGTGGGCCACGCTGTGAATTGCTGTACCATGAATGCTGTACCTATATGCCCACGCTAACACTTCCTCTAGTAGTGTGTGTTATTTGTCAAGGCCGGGGTTTGGAGTCGGCTGTGGAGTCGGCGACGTCTACGAGCGACGGCGGATCTCATGATGCGAGCCATAGCGATGATTACGCAGCTGCACCCGAAAGCGCCGCGTATTTTCCGGTCCACGATTCTCCGTCTGTCGATTGGGATTGGCACCAGCTGGTACTGGTGCTGGTAGCGGCAGAACGACCGCATCCAGTTCCTCATTATCGTTATCCTCATTGGCACTCGCATCATCATCATCGTGCAGATCATCCAAATCGGCATCATTGTTATCGACCATCGACTGCGTGCGATTCGGACTGGCAACATCCTCGCGGGCCATTGCATTGGCCATCAGACGCTGACGTCGCTCCTCCATGAGGCGATCGCGCTCCTTGTGGATGTAATCGCGTTTGTTGGGCAACCCGGCCACATTGTTGGCAGACAGCGCTGAGCGTACAATGTTCATGTCAGTTGCCTCCATCCATTCATCCGTTTCGACCACATAGCATTCGGTGTGCGAGATAGTGGAGACGCCATTGAAGCCGCCAATCGCAAAGATCATGTCATCGATGATCTCCAGTCCGAAATTGCTGCGAGAGTGATTCATTTGGCGTATAAAGTGCCACGATTGCGTCTCGGGATCGAATCGTTCGCCCGTCGATAGTCGCGATGTGCCATTAAAGCCGCCAATCACATAGAGCTGATCCCGGAATGCCACACAGCTGACACCGGAGCGACGATGATTCATGTTTGGTATACGTGTCCACAGATTGGTCAACGGATCATAGTATTCGGCGCTGTCCAAGCACTCTTGACCATTGAATCCTCCCGTCGCATAGATCCGTCCATTCAGGGTACAGGCGCTTGCATCCGAGCGTTGCATATTCATGGGCGAAATAATGGACCACTGATTCGTTGAGGGATTGTAGCGCTCAACGGTATTGAGGCGATTGTGTCCATCATAGCCACCAATCGCATAGATCATGCCATTTAGCTCCGCCACACTCACATAGCAGCGCCGGCAGTGCATAGGAGCAATCTCGTTCCAACGCTTCTGGACCGCATCGAAGACACGACAGGTGTTGAAATATTCGACGCCATCGTAGCCACCAATACTAAAGATTTTGAAGCCAAGCACAGCGGTGCCATGGTAGGCTCTCGGTCCGGCCGGATCTTCCGCATTGATTGTCACCCAGCGATCGGCTCGCGTATCATAGGTCTCGATGCAGCCCTTGGATGTGCCACCACTCCAGCCACCAATGGCGAAGATTACCTCATGCGGCAGCCGGGGCATAGCCAGCGGTGGCGTCGTTAGCTTTAAGAGGGGCAAGTATCAGGTATCAGGTATCATTTATTGCTGGGCAAAAGGTGGTTTTTACCTCTTCGGCTTGTGGGTTAAGGAAGTCCAGATCATACATGAATTTAAAGGTATCGACTATCAACGGCTTGGCGGTCTCGCATTGCATAACATACGGATGCTCCTTGACCTCCTCCATGAAGCACTGCAAATCAAGGCATCAAGTTTTAAACTTATTTATCTATTTTTATTAAATGTGCGCTTAAAAGTTAATTAAAAATTGTTTTTTGTTTGGTGACCACTTATAATTTAAATAATTTATTATTTTTATACATTTTTTCGAATCCCGTAGAGAAAAAACTTGAGCTGAAACCAGCGAAAACCATATTTAATTATTTATTATTTTAAATCAATATTAAAGTTGCAGATGAAATGATTTATATCAAATAAATAAATTAAAAAACAGAATAACCACAATTAGATATTTATTCATTAAATGTGCAGCGCCATTTAAACTTAAGTTTCATATTAAATTAGATTGGTTATTTAAAATTAAAAACAAAAAATGAAATACTGAATATAATATAATGCGGTATATTTAAATTTAAACAAGTCCCAACATTCAATGCAAAGATTGGGGATACTCAGAAAAAGCTTTTTTACTTATTTAATGTAGACCCTCGATGTAAAGTAGTCTACAAATTTTAAGAAAGGTTTTAAAAATTAAAAATTTGAAAGTAAAATGAATTTGAAAGTTACAAATCAAATAATTTAAAAATCAAAGTGAAGAGTTCAAAAAATTAAAAAAAATACAAATTGGGCAACCCGAAAGAACCCAATCCTACTAAAAATTGGTAAGAGTCAGAAACCTTGCTCAGCTTAGTACATTTTGTAGTTGAAAAAACGAGTACATTTTTCTTGAATTAAATACTGAATGGAATGTGCATAATGTAAATACAAAATATATTTAAAATATTAAAATTTAAGCTCTTCGACAAACCGACAAAGTGCTTGAAAAGATAGATTTATACTTAAATGTTGTCAGTCTTGAATATTTGTAGCTGATTTGAATACGAGCAACGAATTATTTGATATTTATCTGAATGTACAAATATTATTGATTCAGTTATGTGGGTATTTTACCTTGGGTGTCATCAGGCCAAGGCGCACTCCCGTCATTAGATGGGCCACATGCTGTTTGCGATTGTCCGGATCTCGGTCAATCCATTTGACGCACAGCTTCCATACGTAATCCTCCTCTCGTGTGTTTAGCTCATCATCGCTAATAATGCTGTAAAAGTCGTTGACATTCATGTCCAGTATATCCGTATTGCGGGCGGCCACATCCGTAAAGTATCTCAGCGTGTAATTCCGTGCCTTCTGATGCAAGTCCTCGAGAAACCGAAAGCTGCAAGCAAAATTCAAAATCAATTAAAATCGGATTACATCAATCAACGTGGGATGTGGAGCACCATAAATCAATTCACATACTGACCGCGCAAAGCCCATTATGCTGACACAGTTTTCCGGGCTAAGTGTCCGTCCGAGATAGTCCTTGCACTGCTTGACCAGCCCCACCATTCCCACATAGTCGGCACAGATGAGCAGCTCGTGCACATTGTCATCGGTGATGTTGGTCCGCCGCAGATATGCATACTCAATCACACAGTTCATGATGGACGCACTAATGCCCGGTATGTGTACCACGCGACTCTCATCAGCTCCCGCCTCGGCTCGATTGTTGAAGCCCGTAAATTGTACGCTGTACACCGCAAAATAACAAAGAGAGGGAGAGAGAAGGAGATAGATAGATAAATAGATAGAGAGTGTGAGAGAGAAATTAAGTTAATAAAAGTCATAGAAAACAAAGGACTGTGGAATACTCTGATACCAGCGTACCACAAGTTGCAAGGAACCTACTTGTAAGTGTGGGGGAGTGGTTAGTGGGTTAGTGGGTGTTCCTCGAGCATTTAATAATCTTTAATTAGGAGGAGGTGTCTCAAAATATATCTTCCATGTGAGATAGCATTAATTCTACGATAGCCAATCTTAAGGGGAGCTGCCTAGAAATAAACCTTCCAATTTTGATAACTCTAACTCTAAAATTACGAATCTTAAGAGAAGAATCCGACAAATATGCCGTCCAAGTGTGATAACTCTGGCTTGGGTCGGTGTACATAGGCAGGGAAGGGGATGGGCGTGGCACCTGCAAAGGACTCCAGGACTTACCGAAAATAGGAACTACAGGAGCACATAATGGCACGATGGACATTGAAGGATTGTTCACCCACCGAGATCTGTGCATCGCAGAGAAGATTCGCGATGCGCAGCTCGTTGAGCACGTTGAGAGCCTGATCGCTGACAATGGGTGTTAGGGATTTCGACGAGATCTTCTGGGCGGGGCCATTATCTAATTCATCCCCCTGAAAATCTGCGTCCATCATTTGTATTGGTACCAGTTCCAGTTGACCCTCATTCATGCCATGCAAATGATTTGCGTTTTGTCGATTCATGGCGATGAGCGATCCAGCGATTTATTCTCGGTTGGCCTTTGAAATCCTGGTCCTTGTCTGAGTGAAGCAGGTAACAAGTTTTGGCGTATGGATGTTTTGATGTAATCACATTGAGATTTCTTTGTTAATCAGAGTATATCATCATGGTATCTTACCAAGCGAATCGCGTAATGTTGATAGTTTATATTTTTTGTGGGCAGATTTAGGGAGAGATTTCTCCGTATTTAACAGAACAGAAATAATGTTTGATAATTAATCAACAACAACAACGAGACAGCTCTCTTAACGAACGGAATGGGACTACTGAGTGAAAAACTCACAAAAAATTTAACGCACTCTAGTAGATAATTTTTTTTTATTTATATTCAAACGCTTTTGGCTCTTAGCTCCAAAAACTCCAATCGCTTACCAATGTTTCTTCCTTTTCAAAGGTATTTGCCCCATAGAAAAGTACCAAAAGTCGGGAAAGATACGCATAGACACAGCTTAAAAAATAAATATCCAAAATGTCTCCGGTTTTTTTTTTTAACTTACTCCTAGTTTTGTAGACGTCTATCACAAAGCCTAAGCCAAAGTCGTTATTTTTTGTACTTATTCAATTTAACTCTTTGATTCAGAATCTTGATATTAAATATCTTAAGAATCCAACTTCCTATAAATAGTATTTTATGTTTTTAAATGCTTTATTTTCGTAATTATCAAGAAAATATTCTTGGTATCTTTATAATAAATTTTAATCTACATTAAAAAAAATAAAAATAAAATAAATGTCGATAATAATCAGGTAGTTTTATCTATACTTATATATAATGTAAGCGTAGATCCATTAAAATATGTTGTCTTACTCGATTATTAATACTCATGAATTTATTCATATTTTGCATACCTCAAAAAAATATATTATATGATTAGAGTCTATTTTGTACTAAATATAAGCATCTCTTAACTGAGGTATGTTATTATTTTCTATATATACAATAAAATATATTAAATTTTTTCGTTTCTTTAATTGTGACTATATTTATATAATGATTGCGAAATTCGTCCAAGGACTTGGCAATAATATTTTAAATTAGGTCTGATGAGATTTTCTATATTTGGCACATGACAATTAGTTTATATCATAGATATTTACATTAACATCATCTTCCGATTATACCATTTCTTGGCCGTATTCAATATGAGAGTATGCAAACGATGTTTAGATTCATGAATATGTAAGGCACACAAATCTTGCCCACCCTTTTCAATTTGCCCATTAAGTGTGGTCCATTGCCCACGACAAGATTATCCGTGCCTTGTTTGCGCAGTCGCCGTATTTGGCTGAAGATGGAATAAAAGCTGGTGCTGATTGGAGACAATGCAACAGTCCGCATCGGCATTCTAGAGAGATGAAGTCGCAATCGTTGTTGGCTTGCTTGTTTTGGCTGCTGCTGTGTGACTGCTTTCTGGTCGGCGAGGGCACTCAGGCGGGCAAGGACATGTGGTTGCGTCCCGGCTGCCACAAGGTGGGAAATACGCGTAAAATCTCAATACCAGATTGTGTGGAATTCAATATTACAACCAATGCCTGTCGCGGATTCTGTGAGTCATATGCGGTGCCGTCGATACAAATGGCATTAACTGGGTCATTCAGACCGCCCAAACCGGTGGTATCTGTGGGTCAATGCTGCAACATGATGAAATCCGAGGAGGTCAGTACTAAAGAAATAATATGAAAATCGCACTTGATCATCATCTCCGTCTTTTTCAGATACAACGTCGTGTCTTGTGCCTCGGCGGCATGCGCACTCTGACCTTTAAGAGCGCCCTTTCTTGCAGCTGTTATCACTGCAAAAAGGATTAGAGAACTCTTCGCAAACTGGTATATTCTATGTAAATCTATTGCCTGAGCCACTTTAGTTGTTTACAATAAATAATTCATGAAACAAATTGCTGCACAATGATTTCGTTTGAAACCTATATTTGAAAAGTAATCGAATTGTTGGCTGTTAATGTTATCGAACAATCGTTTTGTTAAATATCGTTTACTGAAATATCGCTTAGTCGTATACACATTTCGTATCGATAAGTTTATCGAAGATCTGTTCCGCCACTAACTAACTGACGAAGAAAGAAGTCGGTGATTTTCTTTTCTCCACAAGCGTAATAAATGTTTTCATAAAATAATACTGATATATGGACCTATAGATAGATATAAAATGAAATTGTTGGCATTATGCCCATTATGTATAAGGAAAGCCGGTCGATCTATCCGTAACGACTATTAAATTTATGTACATAATTCAAACTTTAGATAAGAGTACAACAAAAATGATTTTAGGCTATTTTTGTTTTTATTTGTTATTTATTGCACACAATCATCGTCTGTTAGTTGCCAGGATGAGCTCTCCCATCTCAACCAGTGCCGACTCAATTGCATAGCCATAGAGCTCAGCACAGATATGGGGATCCCTTTGCCAGGCAGAAACTGCAAAGATTATGTCGTCCTCACGCAGATTATAGGAGCAGCCATATCCCTCTGAGTTGAGTGGCCCATTGGCCATGAAGGCATCATGCGATGTAGTCAGTTGTGCGCTAACAATGCGAAAATTTGTTGATCTTTGATAGCCATCCGAGTAAAAGAATTTGGGCAGAGGTTCCGCATTCTCGCGCGCCATCTGCTTCAGCCCGAATAAATGTCGATCTACGCCACATCCCCGCATCGCCATCTTGGTCAGCTCCTGGTGGTACTCCACAGCTGCTAACAGGGCCAATAAACGTGAGCGATGCGTTGCTCTTTTCGAGACCATTGCACGTACAAAATTCAAGGATTCGTTCGAGGTGGTGCGTATGATCTCGTTGCGCCCAGAACTGAAGATACGCAAGTGGGCGGCCTCCTGCTGAGCGGGCAGCTCCTTGTGCCGCCTATAGAATGCCAACTGCAGTGCCATCTGTATATAGCTATCCGGTGGCATCTTGTGCGATTTGATCACACTCCTGCCATAGCAATCGAACTGAAATGCACTCATCCTCAATTGCCTTGAGATGAGATTGATACTCCGCTTGGCAGCCATCAACCAGAAGTCGATGCAATCATTAATCTCCGCAAACTGCAATTCCGCCAATTCCTCACTTGAAGAAGTTTCGCCATAATCGCTAGGGTCGCTAAATTCCTGACCGTATTTTGGATTGCAGCTGGTTAAATTATAAAAATATACAAATTTTAAAAGCAAGAATGGAAATTGAGCATTGTAGTTAAATTGGATAAGTGTAAAGATTAATGTAACGGTTATAACAATATTTCTAAAATTACTCTTAAGCAGTATTTTTTTAATTTTAATTAGTTCTCAGAAATTATATGGTTTCCTTTAATATTCAGAAAATGTATGTATATTCAGTATTGCCTTTAATTTCAGTAAATGTAAAGATCTATAAGTCAGGCACCGTAATGGTTATATGTATATATTTAAAAAATTACTTTTTAGTGTTTTTTTCAGTTTGACTTATTGCATTGAAATTGTTGAATTTATTTTTTAATTTTGTAATTTTGTTCTTCACAAATTAAAACTTATTTCTTATGATATTTATTTAAATAATTGGAATTAATTTGTAATTCAAATATTTACGGTTTCTACTATCTAAGAAAAGATAATAGCTATATTTTCTGGAACAAGAATTATTCAAATAGTACTAATAAGTACAAAAAATGAGCAATTATCAAATAATACATATGATTATCATATATAAACACATTGTAATTTCTGACTGTTATCATTAACGAGTAATCACTGTACTACTACTACTACATACATATGGCGCTGAACATAGTCCATGATTGTGGCCGCCGGTTGAGGATCGGCTGGCGCTAGCTCATAACAAATTCCTGCCATGCCATTGGGATTGACAATCAGCTGCAGTGTTTTGTCCATCCATCGATTGGCACTATTCGAATGGATTCCACCACCATGTAGAAGCTGGGCAGCCAACATGGAGCGCTCCTGTCCAGCAGGCACCTCAACAGGCTCGTCCAACGAGACGGTGAAGAGCGCCTTCTCAATGCACTGCACCGTTTTGGCATTTATCTCCTGGCGACAAAGCATCTCATGAGCCTCCGTCCAATTGTCACGTGTATCGTGCGTGAACAGACCAATCTGGGGACCAGCAGGACGACCAGATTGAATCACTTTCGCCAACTGTTTTCTCAACTGATAAACATCTAGCACCCTCTTTTCTGCAGTGTAAACGGGCATCTTGTAGAACTAAATGATACGAAAATGTGATCATTGTTTAAGTTTTTTAGATTGAACAAGTCGGATTGTACTAGTCGAACTTACTTAACCCTGAACAATATGTTAAATAAATAATTAATAAAAATAATCAGATAAATCAAATGCTTGCATTTACGATATAGTTTTTACGAGTTTGGCATACAAAAGATCATGACTGTTGTTACATACTGTTCCACAAATACAAATAACCATTTTAATCGAGTATTAAAAGGTGTTTGGAACTTACGTTGTTTTTGTGTATGACGATCACATAATTGGAATCGAATTGTTGAAGGATATCGCAGGAGCGTCGCGGAATGCGAACAGTGCCAAATACATGATGAAATTGGCTATTATCCAGTTGAAAGCCGTTCATTGTGTAAACGGGTAACTGGCCATTCTCCACCAGCTTCTTGAACTCACACATGCCGTAAATGGCTTTGGCCGTAAAGTCCAAAAACTGTTGAATATTGGGAAAATGTTGCTTGGGGAATGTGATGCAGGGACTGGAGAACACAGTTAATGGTGCCCGATGTCGCAGATAGGTGGCAGTTGTCCAGCGCTCTGTTAGCCAATTGTATTCCCTTTTACTAGCCTCGATGAGATGCTCTTGCAGCTGCAGTCCCGAGCTCTGCAGAAAGTCGTAGGTCAGTTCTTGCTCCTTTTGGAATTTTTTCTCGGTGAAGAACGGTTGAACGCTGTCCAAATAGCGATCAAGGGTCTCATCGAGTGGCACCACTGGAAACTTAAGCAAATTCTTTTGTACATTTCGGTTAGTTGAAGAGGATTTTTCAAGCTTCTCAGCAGCGCCATTATTTGCTTTGTTATCTGGTTTAGTTAAATGGTCTCCCGTTATTGCCATTGGAGTCTTATTTGGTTGCAATTCCGTTTTGACATCGCTGCCCTTGTCATTTTGGATTTGTGGCAGATGCAACTGCAATGATTTTGCGCATCCTTTCAGGTAGTTTGTAAGTATCTCGACGAGGCGGATTTCCTTTTTCGATTTGGTTTTCAGTGATAATTCCGCGACATTTGACTGATTACCAGCATCCTGTTTACTATATTTACGGGCATTGATATTGCACTGCATTGGATTGGAGTAGAGTTGAAGTAAATCCATGCCATACTTAAACCAATTTCGTACTCACTTTATTCGCATTGAGTATGGCCCGCATTACAACAATTTTGAAATTATTTGAAAATGAACAGTAAATTAAAATAGGCTAGGACAAGTAAAAAACGCAGACTAGATGTGTGTGTGTGTTTCAATATACTAGGAATATTTAATTGGTTGCGATGATGATGATGGCAATCCACCATTTGAAATTTAATGGACACTTTATAGGAAACTCCATTAAGGCACTACAACTTGGATTTGACGGGCTCCTTGTCCAGAACAATTTGCATTTCAAGGAAGGATTTTGTAAGGACCTCCGCAAATTTTTCGGCGTCTGTAGCATTACTATGTCTCCATGCCGAAATGGCTACAAAAATGTCAGAATCACGAGGATTGTAGCAACAGCCATAGCCATCATCCACATATGGACCATAGCCCATGAAGGCCTCATATAAGGTCGCCACTTGCGATGTAGACACGCGGAAATTCATGGACTTTGTAAATCCCGGCGATGAATAGAATTCGGGTATTGGCAATTTATTCTCCAGTGCCATCAGTTTCAGGCCCAGCAAATGACGATCGACACCGCGTCCCTGTAGCGCCAGTCTCGTGTATGCCTGATGACTGGCCACTGCCTCGCGCATCAGCTTGGCCCGTTCCTCCACAGACGCCTTGTCGCTGGTCATCGCTTTGCAAAAGGCCAGCGATTCGTTTGAGCAGGAGCGGATGGTCTCCGTGCGTCCGTTCTCGAAAATACGCAAATGAGCCGATTCATATTGGGCACCAGGCTCCTTGTGCATTCTGTAAGCAAGTAAGTCATTATATATACCATATATATGTAAAATGAAGACACGTTACTTATAGAATGCCAGTTGTAGAGCCATTTGCACAAAGCTATCTGGGCCCAAACGCTTCTTTTTAATATAGTCCTTGCCGAAGCACTCGAATTTGAGCACCTTCATTTGCAGATCATGAACAAGCTTATCGACATTACGTTTCGCATAGAATATCCATTGGTCAAGGCATGCATCGAGCGGACCGAAATTGATCTTTTCCGCCTTGCAATCAGTCTCCTTGGAGCCACATTCTCCATAGTCTTTGTCCTCAAGCCTACATAAATGGAAATCGGTTTAAATGTATAAACTAATATCTGTTTGGAATAGGCGCAAATAAGCTGAAACGCACATTTTCTTTACCACATAGTCCATCATCATGGCAATGGGTTGTCCCTCAGCCGGTGAATGCTCATATGTGAAGCCAACGTTTCCATTTGGATTGACCACCAGTTGAATAGTTTTATCCATCCAACGATTGCCGCTATTTGCGCGACTACCTTCGCCATGAATCAGGCCGAGAATTAGCTGGTTCACTTGATCGCCGGGCTTAGAAGGGGTGCATTCATCCATCGAAACAGTGAACAATGATGTTTGAATCGCATCAATCGCAACGCAATTTTCCGGTGTTTTTAGCAATTGCTCATAGGCTTCGGTCCAATTGTCGCGCGAGTCTGTAGTAAGAATGCCAAAGGGTATACCAGTCTCCGTTTCCGCTTTCATGATAAAATCCAACTGTTTGGCCAATACCGAAGCAGACAGTAGTTGATCCTGCTTGTCGTAGATACGCATCTTGTAAAACTGTTTCGTATGGATAACCAATTAATAAAAGGGGGTGCAGGGAATAATAAATTCAAACTTACATGATTTTTGTAGATGACGACGACATGCTTGGAATTGGGATTGTACTCGACATCATCCTGGACAGGACGTGGTATGCGACAGGTGCCAAACACTTTGCCAAACTGACTATTGTCCAACTCATTTTTACCCATCTTAACAATCGGTATTTTACCAGCATCCACAATGTTCTTAAATTCACCCAGACCGAAAATTACCTTCGCCGTATAGTCAATATAGTCTTGCGGACTATTGAATTTCTGCAGTGGAAATGTCATGCCGGGACTGGAGTAGACGGTGACCGGATCACGATACTTCATATATGCCGTTGTTAGCCAGCGATGTGCCAGCCAGTTCGTCTCATCCTTGCCAACCGATTCGAGAAGCATTTGCAGTTGTTTGCCCTCATTTTGCTTGAACTTTTCGGTTATTTCCAGCTGATTCTTATACTCGCTGGCTGACAACAGTGGCTGAACAGTGCACAGGAAACGATCCAGCGTCTCCTTCAATGGCAGCACATGAAACTTCAATAGATTCTGCCTTGGCTCAGCAGCACTTTCGCTGCTGTAGCTGGCAGGCAGCAGTTTAACGAGCCCATTCGAAGCGCTTTGATTAGATTTCAGTGAGCTTTTCGTCTGCAAAAGGAAATGCGTTAAATGTGGTATTCATGAGATATACTTGACAGAGATTTACCAAATTCCAGAGGGCACCTCTATTACTCAGCAGTCTCATCTCGGCGTCGCCTGTATCAACTCTTCTCTCAACTGGGGCGCTGCAAACACAAGTATGTGTGTGAATAAATGGCACAATTCTTATTGTAATCCAAAGGTTGTATTGTGGACCCCCAGTTTATTGTTCACCTTTGATAATAGTGCATAATCGTTGGTAATTGCGATAAGCAAAGCGTTAAGATTAACGCTAACGGCTAAACGCTGGCAGAGATGGACCTCAATTGGGAACTTGGGAGGAACACACAAAATAAGAGTCCACGTAGACAACGTAGACGGTGAGTGCAGTTACCACAATTGATAGCAGACCAAAAAACACGACCGGTTTCGCTTTAAATGATATTAAAACTGCGCCTTCTCTGCCCCAGAAACCTGTAGCAGCGTTTGTTTTTTTTTTTTTGCGAGCGCTGCCAGCGTTGGCGTCGACATCGGCATCGAAAGTAAGAGCGGCAAATAGCAAATTGTTGCTCTTTGTTTTTTGTTTTGTTATCGGGTGTCCAAGGGATGTGTATGTCTTTTTTTCTTACCGAACGCCAATTTATGCAGTTATTCTTCTGTTATAGCTTGACACTTTTTGGGATGTTTATTGAACAGAATTAAATTGGGACATTTCTAAAAAATATAAAATGTCAAATTCAAACATAAATTAGCCAACCTGCTTATCCAAGATATTATAATTAGCCCCAATAGAGATGGGACACAAACGATAGTTTTGAGTTATTTTCTACTTATTCATTTTTAAAATTTTTATACATCTTTGTGGTTTATTATTTTGTAATTAAACAATTTAAGGAACTGCAGTTGAAAATCACAATTTTTTTTTAGATTGCTATCTCGCACACATACACAAACACAACAATACAAACCTATCGATAAAAATTTTGTTAGCCGGTGGAGTATTTATGTTAAGTGAAATAATTCTGCTCAGTTCTGAGTAAATGCTGTTAAGTACCGCGCCAGAAGTCAAAGTAAATTAACAAATTTAAAAGTGACATTTTTTTTAGTGTTATGCCTATTCATGATGAAATTCTGTTAGTCGGTGGACTAATTATGTTAAGTGGTCCAATATTTTGTTGTTTTGAATAAGCTCTGTAAAGTTGCGAAGTCGAAATATATTTGACAAATTTAAAAGTGACATTTTCCTAAGGCGTATTCGTGATAAAATTTCATAAATTCCAGAGGAGTAATTATGTCTAATGTTGAAATAATTTTTTCTACGATTTTATCAAGTTTTGTTATGTTGATCGAAAAATACGAGTATATATTAAGAGTACGTATTTAATAAACTGACATTTTCTTAAATCTCTGTATACTTCAATAAATTGCTTAGTTAAAAAAACTTCAAGTAAATTGTTTTTATGTTTTTTTTTATTATTAATATTTATTTAAGTTAATGCAGTTGAAATGTTAAAATTACATGGTTTAAGGCTAATATATTTCATTTGTTGTGCAAACGCTTTTGCTTTGTAGTGCGTTTACTCATAAATTCAGCTTCAATACAAAAATCACAGCAATTCTTAGCATATATTACGAACTTGAACTACAATTCTTGTGCAAATTTCTTATTAAGCTTTTGTTTTTTTGTTGTTTTTTTTCTTTATCATTATAATTTGCTTCAATTCATTTGTATATAAATTCAAATTATTATTGGCACCTCATGGAGGTGACTTGTTAACTAGATTAAGCTTAAGCTCGATATAAATAACACCATACAAAATGTAATGTTGGATAAAAATCGAGCACTAATTGTGCCATTTGGGGTGTATACAACTACAATCGTTCTTTTGTTTGTTTAAAGCTATCACAGTAATTAAACCAGCACTTGGCTTTTATAATATTTACTCTAAATAAAATGCTATATAAAACCAAAAGCGGCGATGCCGATGCCCAACACAACTAGCACACTAATATGCACCAACTAAAGTGCATATACTACTATATGTACATCATAATTATCATAATCATCATCATCATCAATTTGATCAAATGTTAACCGACAACCTAAACTAACTGCAACTTCGTTGACGCTGTCCCGTCGACAGATTTCTCAGGATGCGCATAGGGCGTCGTCCAACTCTTGTCATTGTTGTTGTTGAGGCTGCTTATCGAGGCGGGCGACGAGGCAAAGCCGCTGCTGGCCAGACTAACGCCCAGCTGTAAATAGAAAGAAAGAAATTTGTATTCATTAACATACATCTTAAATCAATGGCATAAGTTTTATTAGTTCGCGTGTATGCAAATCCATACAAATATCGAAAAAATCTACACGCGTGACTATAAATTGTTAAATGTCTGGTGTTTGCTACGAAAACAAGTTTCTCACATCGCCTGATGCTGGCTGTTGTTGGTTGCCGACTGCCTTCAAACTTCATAAATTTAACGTTCATTTAACGTTCCCCTAAACTTTGGCATAAGCCACTTGAGCGACGTAATTCATGCAACATTCATTCGCCTCAGACACGTTAGACGGCTTGGCGTCGATTTCCTTACACTGTCGCAGCGGCATTAAATGAATCGCTTAAGTGCTCGCCTCGTCTAGTTATGAAATTGATAACGAAAAGGTTCGATGTGGGTGCAATTAATAACTACAGTCCAGACTCTGCTCTACTCTACTCCTTTGAAATGTTTGCCCCAATATTGCTTGCCCAATCAACAAAAGCCAGTTTCTCGGGATAATTTAAGCAGAGAGTAGCGTCATTAAATTCAAATCTACATTCAATTTTCAATCGGTCCAGACGATTGAGTTAATAAATTTCAATATGTTTTTTGCTGGCTTCAGTTCACTTGCCTTTTATTCGTTTTTTAAGTACTCCAATATATTATCAAAGCTTCTAACGTTCAGCAATTTTTGCTTTGACTACTTTTTTTCTGGGCTTTTGTTTTCATTTTGAATTCAAATTTCATTATTCACTTTTAATTTTATATTGTTTAACTTGCAACTTTAATGTGAAATTAAGTTTGTATTTCATTAAATTTTGGACTGTCTTAAATTCATTTTAAATAAATAAATAAATCTCTTTAAAAGTCCATTCTACCAATTAAGATAAAGTACAAACACAGTTCAAACATAATTTTGAAAGATGTCAGCAAATTAATTATTATAATAATAAATTTGTAAATCAATAAAAAAAATAAAAATTTAAAAAAAAAATCATTTAAAAATTGTAAGTTTTTCCGATGGAAATGTTCTTTTAATTATGTAAGTTTGTGGCTTACCTGTTGCTTCGCGCCTGTGCTGCTGTGACCAACTGCATCCTCATCTAAAACGTTGTCATTGAAGCAATCTATGCAGATGTCATCATCGGCATGCTCTGCTTCGATGCACGAACTGGATGTGGTTGAATTGCGGCTAAGTGTGACATTGTCGCTATCGTTGCCCTCATCGCTGCTCTCCGGATCGGAGATCGCTGGCTCCAGCTCTAAGGCGTAGGCAGACTGACGACGCTCCTTATAGGTATCAATCCCGCTGTCGTCGCGGATAAAGACATGTTTTTTCGCAGCAGGCACATCATCAAACAGCTTCATTTCACATGGATTGTAGACCTGATTGCCGCCACCGACGCCGCCAACTATGCCTCCACTGCCCGTTAGATTCTGCAGTAGATTGGCGCGTCCATATTTGCCATCCGAGATGTTGGTCGCTTGCCGCGTGAAGCTGGACATGTGGAGAGTGGCACGGGTGATGGCATACACCAGCATGCCAACGCCCAGCACCAGTGCACCCCAGAAGCCCACCGGATTGACCAGTGGCAAAATATTTAAATAAAAACTGAATCGAGTGTCCAACTCATCGGACAACTTGGGCATCATCTGAGCAGGAAAAAAACACACCGAAGACAATAATTAGTGGCTGCTGCTTGTGCTGTGTATTTAATATCTGTTTAACTTACGATCTCGAACCAAAGCATGGGCGCAGTCAGATAGCTGAACTGTGAGACTTGCGGATAGTTGTGAAGATCCTTGAAATGCATGTTGATTTGCACTTTTACGGACAGCGATAGCGGCAGACCAGATTCCTAAAATGAGCAACGATATGCAATTAGTCTACTACCTGGTATCTGTTTAGTTGTATTTAGTTGCACTTGGCCCAATTTTCAATTTAATTGTGGGGAGAAACCCAGGCCTGCTTGTTGTAACCCAGTTGTTGTCCTTAAGTCACATTCTGTTTTTTTCCCCCAACTTGATCGCGTTGCGCTTGCCACAAGGTAATAATCGAGTTGAAATTGCTACTTGTGATAAAATGATTGATTCAGCGTTCGCATGATAATTGATATTTATCAGTTGCTTTCGATTTAAAAGTCAAACTATCATTAAACAAGTATTGTTGAATTGCATTTGAATCTTTGTGCAACATTTGCAAAACAATAATTATTATTATCGATACTATAACGATTGCAGTCGGATCGGAAGAACCTACTCATTACTTAGTAGCTGCGATTCTAGTTGCGATTTGCAAATTAAACTCCGTTAGGCACTTAAGATCTCAACAATTTCCTGTTATACATAAATTGGCTGATGCCTTAAGGAAAAATCAGCTTAATCGTGACTAGCCGTTAACTTAATTAGCCGGAAGTGAGAATATTTCAAACATAAGCCAATAAAAATTTCAATAATAAACACGAGATCTCACTCAATTGGAAGGTAAACATAATAAAAAGCAATAAAATAAAAATAACAAGTGACGCCAGTTGTTGTCAGCAACAACAGCAACAATGCTAACAACTTGAAATCGAATCGAATATTTTGCACAAGCTAATTGTAACACTTATTGTGAGTGTTTAATTAAATATTGCCTATATTTTCGTACACTTAGTTAATCGCTTCGAACGATGATTGACACTTGAAAGTTGCGACATAAATGCGACACTAACAAGGCGATTGTTTGTTTGTTTTGTTTTGTGGCTGCTACAAGGTTACTTACCGGTTGTATGACAAATGCTGTAGAGTGCTTGGCAGGATCTGGCTGCATTCCGGTCACATTCTCCACGAGGCCAGCATCGCCATTCATAAAGTGTGGAAAACTGAGCGAGATGGGGAAACCGTAATAACAATCGGTGACGTCAATCAGGCCATTGGGCTGACAATCACCTGCAAAAATCAACAAAATGGACAAAATAAACAATTGCAACAATCATATTGATATTTTTTGTGTGTTAATTTTTTTTTTTTTTGTATTTTCTAAGGTTAGATTAACGGAAAAATGTCATTGTAGGCGACGCTTTTAAGGCAGTCGACTGCGTGTCTTAGTTTCTGACGTAAGGAATTTCCTAAACAGAAAAAAAAAAACACAAAATACAACAACTGTCAAGCAACAAATAAAATAATGTTTTATGTCATGCGAAGCGCGTTCTGGCCTATTTGCGTCACAGCCTGAATATTGTGGAACATTTTTGGAGACTGCCATTGAATACGGAATACAACAAAACAACATTGTGCATGTCGTCAGCCCGGCAAAAATTCCATGATCAATGAAAGATTGCGCGGGGAGGGAGAGATCAATATCAATTAGCCAGCCCAGTAATCGGCGACGCTCAACAAACAAGAATTTTTTGCGCTTTGTACTGGGCAATTAAACTGAACTGAGTCGGATCTTAAAAAGTAAAACTTAGGCGGCTTGTTGTAATTCTAGACACAAGAAAAAATCATTAAATATGCAGGAAAACTTCCAGAAAAGTTTTTGTAATTGTTCAGCCAATTAGATCGTAACGTGGCTCAGCTACTTGATTCACTGGAATTTGAAAGTTAAATTCACTCACCTTTGCGACAGAAACATTTGTTGGCCTCATTGATGGCGCCATTGTCAAAAGCATTCTCTTCAAAGACATAGTTGTAGCCCTTCAGGCTGCCAAAAGTGCGCTCCTCACCATCTCGATACTGTAAAACAAAAAACAATAAGAACTATTAATGATAAATGAACACACTTCTCATTTAATAGAACTTACCAAATTGATGGGCCTGCACATGCTCTTCCTGAAGAACTTAACCGATTCGTTGGCCTGGATGAAGCTCTTAAATTTGGTACCATCGGAGGCATACTCAATGTTGCTGCAGTGATCACCCTTCCATTGGGGCAGTGTTTTCTCTCCCCGATAGGTGTCGTAGAGACCCGATATTGCCGGATTCTCGGCGCCCGTGTAGAAAGTCTCAAAGTCCGTTGAGAAATCGTACATGCGATCAATCAGTCCAACCTTCTCGAACGATATCCAATTGGGCAGAAAAGTGTTGCCCATTGTGGCCAGCGCTGAGGGAAACCCAAACATAAACTCCTTGGCAGTCATCCGAACAATGGGCTCCGATTTTGTGGTAGCCAAAAGTTGACGCAATGCGTAGCGCACAAAGACAAAATGATTGGAAGTCAGATGAGAGATGGCCTGCAAATGAAAAGCATACATTTTGTTTAAATATGTGCTATTAATTATTATTAAAATTATTAAAAACTAAAAAAATAAAAAATTAAAAAAGAAACTCATGATAAAAAATCTGATGTTACACATAGTATAATATATATATATATTTTTTTAATGTGTGCATAATATATTAAATTAAAAAAAATATCTAATTAAAAATGATCTATTTGAGCATGACACATTATTTTTGTTTTAAGAGGTCGTAATAACAAACCAAAATAATTCAAAGTATTGTAATTATGCTTTGTTTTTATATTATAATTGAAAAAAAAAAATTGTAGAATTGAAAAAAAAAAATTGTAGACTCTATTTACAAAAACATTTCCTAATAAATATTGATATCATAGATAATTTATCAATTAATAATTAATGCATTTTGAAGCAAAACACTCAGTTGAATGTGTCACATGTGCTTGTCAGGATATGCCAGCTGTGATGACGTACTCTCAACAGATCATTAGCAGTCATTATAGTTAATAAGATAATAAAATTGATTTTATTACCAATAATTGGGTACTTCCTGTGCAATCAATGACAAACTGCATTATTATTTATTTTGGGCACATATTGTAACCGGACGTTATTTCAGCTCAAATCTTAATCTTCTAAATCGAAACTAAAACATTGACTTTTTACACTCTGGCATAAGCGAAAGCCACTCTAGCGATTGCAGCTATGCTAATTTTAATCACTTTTAATTGAAATATCATAAAATCAACAATTAATTACTGAGCTGCTTGTGAATTGTATATTTTATATAGTTGTTTATTGATCGAATATGCATTACTGATTGATTTGTTTACGAATCTGAATTATAAAACTCGTCATTAATCTGACAATGTTGCTGACAATTATAAATACGCCCTTAGGCAGCGTCATTTATTATAATTTTACAACAATCATAATATAGTTTTAGCAATCACAAGCGTTCAGTTGTGTGTGTGTGTGCGAGTGAGAGAGCGATCAGTTGCCATAAATAACGGGAGTGATTCGCACTTGCTCATTCACGCACTCGCTGTCCTTGTCACACTCCCTCAGTCGAGCAGCGTATTGTGCGCAAATTAATTGCCTATCATTTAGTTTAATATGTTGGCAACGCCACTGTTGTTGCTACTTTTAATATGTAACGTTTATTGACCTAAACATGAGCATTGTCACCTGTTGTTGTTGTTGCTGTTTAAATTTCACAGCTAAAAATTATTTTTTTTCAGCTTTATTTTTCATTTTATTTTTTGGTTTTTTAGTTTTTTTTTTTTTCATTTTTTGTTTGGTCATGTGCGCGGCACGCGATGTTTATTATTTATTGTTTGCTATTGTTGTAGTTTGCAAGATTAACGGAATAATATGTTGTTATTTTCCACACAAATTAGTAAGAATCGACGCGACGTGCAGGTTTCCACAAATTACTACTGATTATCGTTGTCTATAGTTAATAATATGTCATCAGATTACATCATATCGAGCTGAGGCTTGTAATCAAAGAATCGATAATGACAAGTGGAATAATTTGAAATGTTGGAAAAGGGAAAAGGGAGAGGAGAAATGCAATTAGATACTTTGTTAGTGGGAAGTTTCTAGTAATTGAATTACTGTAGAGATACCTTTACGACTATTTAGTTTTTGATTAGTGCAATTAACAACTGGCATTTTGTTTGGTGTTTTGCAGCATTGTCGGCATTTCCGTTGGAGTTCCCCTAAATCTTAAGGCTTTCAACTTGTCTATACTTTAGCCTTTCTATGTATATGTAAATTTGACTTAAATTAATCTAGAATTAAATATAGAATTATTGCAAGTCACATTTGGCACATTTCGCTAGTTCCGTTTTTTTTTTATTATTTCCGTTTGTTTTATTTGTTTCAAGTTTTGGTTTGTTTATATTTAAAGACTTGCAACTTGTTTGCGCTTTAATCTATGCAAATGTTTAAATATGAAAGAAATCAGAGTTCTTTTATAGCTATTTTGATTTCGTATGATAAATGTTTTTAAGACTTCCCCATAAGAACACTTTTGTATAATACTCACCAGCATAGCTATATTGAGCATTATGACTTCGTCGTCTTCACGATGACCTTCGGATAGATGCTCCTGCCAGACCAATGGATGACTGGGTGTTGCGGACATGGTGTTGTTGTCATTAAATGTGATATTCTCATGAGTCATGAGCTCTCTGCAAGTCAAGTTAAAAGATGAATAAAAAGTTCCATAGCAGTTCGAAGTGATTCACAACTTACTTATACACATAGGGACCCACTTGTTCCACTTGTAGCTTTTCGCGTCCGGCGAGAAAAGCCTCAGCATTGGTAATATTAAATAGATAGATTTTGATATACAAATCGACTGGGGGCGTGGCCCAAAGATTGAAGATTTCACCTTTATCGGCCATTATCAATTTCTGCAAGAATTCAAACCGAATTAATTTTGGATCTTTCGAACACATGGTGCCTTCAATGACAATGGCCAAATGGTCAAATTGCAAGTGCCTTAAACGGGCTGCACTTATGTGTGTGTGTGTGTGGCTGGTGACGTACGTGTCAATATTGAAGGCAAGACGCGTTAAGTGACCATTTGGCAAAGGCTAAGGACGGCAGTTAAAGCTTTAGTTTCGGTTTATTGGACTCACCCATCTGAATATCAAATCGTAGGGTTGAAATACTTTAATCAGCACCGCTGTTGTTATAGCCAAAAATCCAATGGCCAGCAGCAAAAAAGCGCCTGCAAAATATAGATAGACAGAAAAAGATACATTAGATATAAGTCGATGCGGTTTCATCGAGTACATATAAATAACTTCATTAAGTTAATTAATAGACGATCAATTATGCATAAATAGGCAGCGTGTGCGACACGCAATATTGAAAAATGAATGAAATTCGAGAACGGACAACTGAGAACTTCTAACCATCAATTTGCATATCACAAATGATATTGTCATAAATTTCGCTACATGAGCATGTTCGATTTGGTCTTGTGGCCCCTCAAATGATTTTTTTTTTTTTTGTTTTTAGGGAAATTGAGAACTTTGTCACGTTGCTTGTAAGAAGGCGTCTCTCAAAAGCTCCATCTATGTGAACTGGGTAACACGTGGAGTAATTTATAGGCAAATTTGCATGTATATATATAGATGTATATATACCAACAAACTAATTAATGTAACGGCATTAAAGGTAACAGCTTGATTAGCAGAACAACTAAGCTTAAGTATATAATTTATTTTTAGAAGATTACACTGTCACTGCTGACCTTAAAAATTGTTATAATCCTACGTAGTCTAATTAGCTGTATTGCCGTTCTCAGCGATCGCCTGCCTTGAATCACTTTAATCCCCATCGTTAATCGCCGACAAGCAATATTTATAAACGCGACAGTATCGCGACAGAACTCCGACAACTGCAGACAGTTCCCATCAGGCGCTAAATAATTGAGATCTGTCGGCCGACTTACTCGTGAGCAGGGCGAGTATTACAAGTATACTTGTACAGCACAATACAATACAATACAAGTATTCATGTACATATATACAAATCGAGCAAGCACTCGAGTAATTCAGCGTAAAGCAATTCCATCGCATATTAGTCACGATGCCAACACTCAGAGAAATGTCGCTCTGAAATTCAGATCACCTTATTAATAATTATATTTCTAAAGACCAGGGTCTTTTGGTTTAATTCAAGGGAATATTTTACTAAAATGTAGGAAACACATTTCTAATTCGCATATTCGCCATTTGTTATTCTAATATATCAGTCAAGACAGCAAATTTCATTACTTTTTTTTTTTTTTTTTAATTAAAATGAGGGATTATCATTTTGTATTTTCTACACTTGCTAAAAATGTATTTCTTTAAAGAAAATATTTTTGAAAACATAGAATCGCGTTCTTAATTTACATACATTTTTCCTTATTCTATTTAGAAACTATTTCGATGCATAAGTAAAACTTTATAGTTTTCAGGACGACTTTTAGATGGATTTTCTACATTTTAGGTAGATTTTTCTTCTGAGTGCACTGCTTCACTGTATCCATAAATGCGTGCATATAGATAGCGAGTGTAAACACCATTTAACACTTGTGTCTTTTTTTTTTTTTTGGCTCAGTGGCCAGTCGACTTGTTAACTAGTTTTTGCCTCCTAGGCGTCCAACAGTGTTGCAAATGCAAACTGCGAATATGTAAAAAAAAAGACAAGAGTGTTCAATGGAGTGGAGACACGTCAACTGGATGATCGCATTTGTGGGAATTTTAAATTAAAGGGTGAGGGTGTGGTGGTAAACAATTTTGAATTGAGCACTCTTGTCTTTTTTTTTATATATTCGCAGTTTGCATTTGCTTTTTTTTTACTGCTCTTTGTGCAATATGAATATCCGATTTCCAAAATATATTATGTGTTTCTTAACCGATATTAAATAAATTCAAATACTTGATTTATTTTTTTCTAAAAGTAGCGTCTTTTATTTTTTTCTCTCCCTCTTGAACTCTCTCTTTGGAGTTTTTTTTTTGGGATGTTAAACTATTTAAAATTTTAATCTCCCCAGTTTTATTTTGTCCTTTAATTTTATTTTATTAAATTATTCACTTTTAATTTTAAAACACTTTGTAAATTTAATCTTATTTTTAAATTGAAATTTGTAAAACTTTTTTTAAAATTCTAGACTTTTTTTTTATGCGATCGGTAAATAATTTCTTATCGTTCTTAGCGAATCGGTTTAAGTTATTCAAAAATATTAAACAAAAATCGTTTACATAAATTTATGTGTCGTTGGCTCTGATAATCTCTCAGATCTCTCTAGAATGGACAGGTTCGCAGACGCTTCTTCTCATTTGTAACGGGTATAGTGTAAAATTAAAGAATTCTGATATTATGCAAACAATGCGTGGCAGAGACACGTGTATGAGTTATCCCAAGTGCTTTGTCCCGAAAGAAAACTGGTTTCAAATAATAATCATACGATCAGCATTCAAATATACGAGTCTGCTTTATCAACGCATAAAAAACTTTTGCTTTTCTACAGATATGTGTATATATGTATCTGTGCATAAGGAATAGGAGACTGCCACGCAGAGCCATGTCTTACATGACTCTTAATTGGCTGACCATAAAAAGCGCAGTGCAATTTTCATGGGGCATTTCAAAATGGAAGTGACTTGAATTTGCACACGAGATTTTTTAATGTAAACATTGCGCAAAATTTCTTATGTTGAAACTGAGTAATTGAAATCAATTAATTATTAGATCAAACTGCTTGTAATGACTAGTAAACAGCAACATTGTAATCTATGCAGCTCTTGGATTTTATCATAGATTTCCTAATAAATCATTGATGTTTAATACAGAGGTTAGTATAATTCACACTTAAACTGATATTCAGCTTTAAGTTCTAACCACATAGTGCATATCGACTTCGTGGCGACCTTGTTTTGATAATCTGTTGGCTATTGTCTCGTGATTTTCGAGTTGACTATTGAACGTGTTTTGTGCACTGTCTTCTGCATAGTCTAGACTCGGGATCCTGTTGGATCAATGCGTAACCAGTTTGGCAGGGGATTTTCCTTTTTACTTTTTTAGCAGCTGCAACAGACAATTTTGCATTCTTCATGTTGCTGCTTGATTTTTTTTTATTTTTTAATCAATTATTGGATTTTATTGCACCCTTTTAATGACCGAACTATAAAAGTTTATATTGATTGCTTAAGGCATATGGCTAACGTTAGTTAATAACATTTATTTGCACATTGCTGATTGGCTTACACATAAATTGCGAGCGATTGCGCAAGTGTTGAAAGTGCCGCAACTTCTCCAGCGAGAAGCGGCGATCCGAGTAGAAAGCACCCAAAAAATCCTTGAGCGACTGACGCCGCAACCGACGACGCAACACTGTCATAATGATAATATCGGTTATGTAGCACACTCGGACACACTTCAAACGTTATGTTCAAGTACACGGGTTCAAAAATATTTTGTTGATGTGATCGTTCCAAAGTCAAAGCCAAACTAAAATTTTGCGACTTGTCAAGGGTCCGATGTACCCTCGGCTACTTTCGTTTCAAGCTCGGCAACATTTAATTGCTTTTCATACACTTATAAAGGGTATGCCACATAATTGGCACGCAGTTGGCTGATGACTAATTACAGTAGGCACACAAAAATAATAAAAAAAATACGTTTCTAAGAATTTAATAAAAAAAATTAATTTAATAAAATATAAACAAATTTTAGAAGAAAAAAACAGAGATGAAAAATAATTGCTTAGTACTTATCAAAATTTAAATGTAATATTTATGCATTTTAAATTAAAATTAAAAATATAAAAAAACATAGCTAAAACTGATTTCTTAGTATATATATTAAAGAAAGAAACGAGCTAAACCATTAAGTCATTAAGCATATAAAACACTTTACCCGAATATAGCCCAGTTAGTGTATTTTCTGCTTCGGCTTGTCGATTTAACTTGGCAGCTGTCAAGTGCTTGATCATTTTCATTGACTTCTAATCAATCGTTCCGTATGCAGTGCAGGTATATAAATTCAGTGGATAGGTTTAAACGACAAATTTATGAACAAAGAACGCTTGCCTATATTTTAATTTGAAATCTTGATTTTCGTTGATTGTTTCAATTTAAAAGTCACCAAAAATAAATCATTGGAAGTAAAAGCAGAAAAACAAAAATAGCACTTCTAATGCAAATTATGTTGTTTGTTTGTTTGCCAAAATATTTATTTTTGCGAGAAATTTGATGATGCAACCCACGTTCTTCTGGTGCGCTTGCCACCCACATTGCTTTGGCAAAGAATTCGTGGGAATGGGCAATTAATTCGCAGTTGAAGCACGCAACGCACGCGTACAACAACAACATGATTTACAAACACGTGTGCTTGCCACAAAAAACAATCATAAATTGTGCGAGTGCCATCAAGTTCGTGTCCTAAGTCTTTTGTTTGCCTGTCAATAAATGTCGCCAAGAAGCCGCTGTTACATCATTAAAAGAGGGGGGTGCAAGCGCCAGCTACTTTTGAATATACATATATATTTATAAGCGTGTGTATTTTGATTTTCAATTAAGATTGCGTATCGTTTGATCGCATAGCCTTTGCTGCAAGTTAATTTCTGTTAAACTAATCATTGCGTTTTCATTGAATTATATTTATACTCATTAAAAGAACTATTGCGTGTCGGCAATGTAAACCTGATTCGATACAGCATGACGTCAGGTAAAGTCAAAGTTTGAAGATTATTTGCTTCAAGAGGTGACTGACCAATATTCTGGCTGAACTTGGAAGCTTTCTCAGCGAGTGAAAAAACAAAATATTTTGCATAGAGCCGTGGAAAAATTCCGCTGTTTTTATTTTTATTTTTACTGACCTATTTGCTTACATGATTGAATTTGTGATTTATCAAAAAGAAAACATCTGTAGGACTTTGCAGTTTGGAATTACTCATCGCACATGAATCACAGGCAAGCGTGAATCAAATTTTTGTCGATTCTCCATGATTAAGCAGATTTTTTATGTAGGGAATAACCCCAAAAAGCGGCAGACTGAAAGTTATGGGAATAGCTTCTATTGGTATGCTGACAAAAGTAAACAAAGCTGATGCCAAATTTTGTGCCATTATTGCAATTATACATGGACACTGCAACAGCGATTTCCACATTTCGCTTATTGCTGCAACATGTTGACAACATCTGTTGCTCAGCGACTAGTAAACTGCAAACACATATTTTTAATGAGTATTATTTGTTATTTGTTTTTTTTTTTTTTTCTGCTTTTTTCAACTGCAGAAAATCCCTAAAGATAGTGGTAAAGCAGACGTCTACTTTGACTGTTTGCTGTTGCAAGATTATATAAATAAAAAATAATAATCACTTTGTGGCAACGGTTATTATGTCTTGTAAATGCGGATTGCAATTGAGTTGATGACATAATAAGCATATCCAGTTAAATCTTATTTATAATAAATACAACTTGGGTGGTAAATATTGTTTTGCAAAAATATAAACGAATTTCATTTTTTAGCATTTTTTCTCAATTTGTGATTTTTTTAATCTAAATTGCTTAATTTAATTTATTTCCATAATTCTTTAATAAAATGTTCTTTTTTTTAAAAAAAGTAATTCATAAGTTGATGGCTTTGTTTTTCTCACATATGATTTTTTCTTATTGCCGCGAATAACATTATTTTTATAAAAATAGATTAATGTATAACAGCATTTTTTTTTAAAATTGGTTGAATTTGATGAGCTAAGAAGTATATGTTGATTTAAATAAACCGCCTTAAACTAGTTTTGGCACTTAAATCAGCTTTACAAAAGTCAAATCTCCTGCCCCAAAACCTAAAATCAAAGTCATCGCGTCAGCGACGCCTTTTGTTCAATTTTGATGCGGCTTATTGAAATATGTAGAATGCCAGCATTTTACCTTCTATTTAATATCAGCAATGAACCGCTTTTTTGCATAAATAATTTTTTGCGAATTAAAAAAAAAGGAGAAACAGCGGAGATACGCGTAAAATCAAAAATCCAAAAAAAAATTAAATAAATATATATTTATAAACATCGGTAATCCTGTTCGACCTGATGTTTAACTTCTGATGAATGTAGAATGTATATATGTAGAATGTATATATTACCACACTCGGGAGCAATTAAATCGATCAGACTGCGAAACTTGTTCAAATTTCGAAGCTTGCCTCGACACTAGACCGGGGGGGCGTATAGTCATCTAATGAATAACTGTGAAACAGACGATTTGCTAATTCTGTTGATCATGATGATAATGATGTTTGGGCCAGTTTTTGCATATACTAAATAAACCGTACATAATTTTGGGGCAGAATGATATATATAAATCGTAGATCGCGCCAGTTAATCAACAATTTAATCAGAATTGCTTGGAATTATTCAATTTATTCCCCAACAATTAAAAATGTTCTCAGAAAAACCTACTTCTTCATAAATTCAAAATATTTTCGGAAAAACATATAGTTTACATTTAAATTAGCTTTCGCTTTCATTCCTCACTTTTTTGGGGAACATTTAAAAGTTCTGAGCACGTTTTGAATACAAAGCGAATTTGGCATCAGTTTGATTTATGAACTGTTTGTCATTTCTTGGCTGGCTAAAAATAACAGGCAGACCGTTAAGCCTTTCTCAATGCTAATGCGCGTGGCTCTAATTAGCAATATCCACTTGAATTGTCTGATCTTTTAACATTTAAAATGTACAATTTAATGGTTTTTTTTTTAACCATATTTAAATTCGATCTTTGTAATTAGAGAATTGATGCAAACCAATGAATGACTATCATAGGGTGTTGAAACAACACCATGAGTTGAGGTAACAAGCACGTAATAATTATTACTGTGTAATTATTGTTGTTGTTGGCACTTTTACTTTACAAATCCATGTCATATGTACATATTTATTTTTAGTGTAGTTATTAAATATTTTTAACACTTGTTTAATTAGTTGTAGTATTTTCCATTTTTGTTATATTTGTTATATTATATTTCGTTGCGAAACAACAAATTTTCAAAAAAGTTCTTCAACGTATATTGTTAGACAAATTAATTTATCTACCCCATCCCATCAGCACCTTTGCGTTGTTCTTTGCACTTTAATTCATATGTCGAAAACGTTTGAAATTCATTGTTCTGTTTATTTTTGATTTGTGTTGTTATTTTATTTTTTTATAAATGTATTGCTCACAATTTTATTGTTTATACATACAGATATAAGGAAGTAAATATTCACAAGAATCACGTAATTGCGTTCAATTATTTTATTTTAAGATCTTCGATTCGTTGGCCTATCGTCTTCTATTTATATTTTGTTGGTCAAAATTTGTGTTGGATGTCTTTTGATAGTGCTGCATATACACTTAAAAAGTGCTGCTGTGATTTTTCGACTATTTTTTTTTTTTAGTTTGTTTCGCTCATCTCTTGCCTTTCGTTTGATATTTTGTGTAAACAAACGCAATGAAAAATGTGCGAAATTCGTGTTGTTCTTGACTTTTGAAAGAAACCCGAGCGAGTTTTTCGACGTATTTTGTAGATATGGCCAGGTCTGGGTGTTAATGAAGGTGAGGCGGCAGCGTGTATGAAGCTAAAGTAGTTAGAGGTCACAGCACTGAGCGCTAAACATGTGCAATCTAAGCCGTTACTTCGCTACTAAAGCCGCCAATGCAGTTGCAAATATTGTGAGCGTTTTTTGGCGCGCGGAACAAATGCGCTTGGCAACATGCAACATGAAAAAAATTGGAGAAAAAAAAAAAGCGAAAACAAAGCGTACAAAACACAAACTTGTATTGCCTGCTTGGTTTCTAGGCTTTTATGGCTAGCATATGGTCAAGTTCAGGGTTAACGTCTGACCAAATCGCGTGCAACAAGCGCAGATATGAGTCGCGTTTTAGGCGCGTTTTTCACAAAGCGGGTTTAGTTGTTGGTTACCAATATTATTGACATACCGCTCGCCAAGACTTTAAGCCAAAGTGTGTCAGTGTCAGACTGTTGGTTAATCAGAAAATAAAATAACAACAAAACATAAAGTGCTATGCTAAACAGTACCGATATTTGTTCCGCGTGGCATTTTGAGGCGTTTTTATATGCGGCAGCAAAATATTCATAATTAATGCAGACCAAGCGAAGAGACGACACAAAGCGTACACAAAAGATGCGTTCAATTTTTTGTTTGTTGTCGCTTGTGGTCATCAACTGATCAATGATTGATGAATAAATTTTTCGAATCTTCGAGAAGCTCTTAAAACACACACTTTATCACTTTAGCTCATAATTATTTCAACACTTATTGTCTCAATTTTTTTAATTTTATTTTTATTTATTTTTATTTTTTTATTTTAAAAATCTGAATACACATGGATAGCACGTTTTTAAATAATAATTATTATTGTTATTAATTCATTTTTATGTTGCACACATTTTGTAAATATTTTCAACACTTTTATTTATATTTTACGAATAAATATTTTTGTAAGATTTGTTTTTTTTTTTATTTTTAGTAACTTACGTGTTGGCGAGCGAGCATTGCGTTTGCTGTGATGGCGCTCGTTGAAGAAGCTGCCCAAAATGTCCATGGGCTTCATGGAGCGATTTGCCTTGAGACTCTTGCGACGCTGGGCGCGCAGCAGCGCTGCTGCTGCCGCATCGGATTCTGGCAAGGATATAGCAGTGGCTGGATTGACTGCGGCAACTGTGGCGACTGTGGAGCAGAGTGGTGCTGCTGCTGATGGTGCAGCCACTTCATGTGGCTGACTGACATTCACGCCCACCTCCTCATCGCTAACACAGACAGCACTATAGCGATTCGCAAACATTTTGCCAAAGTCCTTCATAATTGCATATGCATATAGAATTTGTATCTTTTAGTTAAATTTGTTTTCTTTATGTTTTTGTATTTGTCACATCAAATACTTTTGGCTACCGGCACTAAAAAACCGTGTTGCTTTTGCTGCGATAGCTCCTTGAACTAATTTAATCAATCACTTAATAAGCTAGGTATATATTTGATTTTGCTTCTGTTTCATGTGAAATCTTAAAATATCTTTCTATGTGTCTAGCTGGATTGGCCTAAGCGCGTTTTGCGTCCGTTCGCTGGCGTTGCTCGCTTATGAATGGAAACCCGGACGTGCGACAGTCTCACCAGGTAAAGTTACGGCTTTAAGTTTTTCGAATTTTTTTCCATTTTTTTTTTCTTAATTTTGCAGTACGAGTTTTTCGTACGAACGTTTGCCTGTCCGCCAACTATGAATAGTGCGCAGTGCTGCTCTCTCATTCGCTCTCTCTCCATCTCTCTCTCTTTAGTAGTTTAGGGCTGGCTCTCTTGCGCTTGCGCTTGCTCTTGCTGTTGCTGTCGCTTGCGCTCTCTCGCTCTTCCGATCTTTCGATCTTTCGATCTTTTGGCTTTAACGTTGCGTTGCGTTACTTTACGTTTCGGCGCTCAGCTGTTTTGGGTTTTGTTTTGAGCCGGTCTGCCTGCCTGCTTCTGTTGCCGCTGATGCTTCTTAACGTTACGTTATTTGGCTTGACGTAACGATTAGCGTGTGCTCAGCTGTTTGGTGCTTTGCTTCGAGCCGGTCTGTGGCTGGCTGCTGCTGGCTTTGCTGTTATTGTTGCTTGTTAGCTTTAGCTGCTTCGCTCTGATCTAAACCCGAAAATTGTAAACAAGTTACGGTGCTTGCCTGCGCCGTTTCGCATTTTGGGGAAATACCAAATGCTGGTGCGTTCGCCTTGTAAGCGCGTCTGTCAACATTACTCATACGACGCGCGTTACCGCGTTGATTAAAATAATTTACAAAAATTAACATAGGCACTAGCCAAAAGCCATATTAATGACTGCCTCATTTGCTGATAGCTACTACCCATCTAAATACGCAATTTCAATCAAGTTTATTGCCAGCTTCTGAAGCTTGTTACAATCGACGTTGTAGTCCGCCAGACGCCAGGCTCTATCTGCGTTTTGTTGTTTGTTATTTGATATCATTGTATTCGCTTTTATTTATTTTTATTATATTTTTTTGTTGTTGTTGTTATTGTTGATTCGGGCTTTCAATAAAAACCCAATCACCTTCAATTTTGCATGCAAACATCAAGATTTGATTTGTTTTTTTTTTTTTTGTGGGCATATTAATTTTTTTCTTAACTTTGTTTCTTTCTTGGCCGTTTAGAAATTTCTCGAAGAAACAGTTGCCAACAGCTGTTGTCAGCAATATGTATTTTGATTCAATCGATTTGTTTTTTACACGCCCATATTTGCTCAGAGTAAGAGAGCCCAGTTACTCTGAGCAAATATTTAAGTGGCCACTGCACGTTTATTTGCAATACTACTATTTGATTAAGGGGGTACGACAAAGTATTGCACAGCATTGATTGTGGGTTTAACAATCCATAGATTATAATCTACACAACAGATTATAGAAAGCTTGCATCGCTCAAAGCCAGCGATGCTTCCTGTTTGGCAAAAGTTCTTGCATAATATCTACGAATGTTATTAACTATTGGATTAAGTTTTAAATTATTAAGTAAGCACAACGAAAATACATATAAATTGTCAGAAATTACTTTTAATTGTATACCTAAATATATATCTAAATACTCAAGTAATTTCGTGCTTAAATTCATTTAATTGCCTTAAACAATGAATGCTAAATATAAATATATTTACATATATTTATGAAATACTTTATTTTCATATGTTTATATAAATATGTCAATATATTATTATACCTGTGGACATTTATTGCTTGTATTGACTTTTGGATGATTTAACAGTTACTTTGTCCGATATAAAATCACTTTTTTCAGGCATTCGTTTTGCTTTCGAATGCCTTTTAAAAGAGCTTCAAACTGAAAGATTCCACTTTCATTCTTGTCGTACAAAATATCGATTTTTTCTGATATCTTTTACTGGTAATTACATTTACATTCTTCTTTAATTACTTAATGTTACACATAAACAACTTTACAATTAACCATAAAATATTCTCTACGGAGAATCTACATTAAGCCCAACTTTTCCGGCATGTTTTCAAGTACTCAAAACCCATTTGGAGATTCCCTGAACAGATTTCAGAAAAAATAAAATAAATAAGTAATGATAATATAGATTTCGATTGTTGAGTAATTATTGCAACTGTAAACATATGTATTATTTAATATATTTACATTGCATAGATTAAAAAAATGTCATTGAACTTGACGTTGCAATTTTCAATCCATAATTATATTGTTGTTTTATGCGAGACATTTATTTATTGCCTTTTATGAAATTTAAATGTATATAAATGCCATTTCGCATTTTTGCTGGGATGCTTTATCAATTTCCGCATTGACTATTCGTTTGCCGTTAATCTTTGACTCATAGACATAAACAGAAATCCTCAACAATAGCAACAATAGCAACAATAATAACATTATGTCAAGTTTCTTAAGCGTTCCCAAAAGAGATGTCAACTCACTCTTATTGTGCGAATAAGCAGATGACCTTGCCAAAGGCTACTGAACCTACCATTTGACAAATGTGAACTCGTACAAAACGTTAAATAAATTATGAAAATAGGTTCAAAGAGGTCTGTTTGTGTGCGACTTATAAATACCCTTTATATAGAGGCAGCATTTTCTATTTCCAAGCCATAAAAAGGTGGCAGTTTATAGCAGGTTCATCTATCAATATTCTGATATTCTTGAATAAAAATATTTGTCAAATGTGTTTCTTAATTATTGAATTAATTATTTTATTATTCATTTTGCAAATACACATAGAAAGCAGAAACAAATTTGAAGAATGTAAATGAAAGAAATGTTGGGCATTTTGGAACTAGGCTATTACATCATAGGTAATTTCTTCCCACCCACGAAATGCTAAAAACAAGATTTCAGATTTAAGATTATTTAGTCAGAGTTAGCAGGAATTGCTTAGTGTTGCCAGACTGTTCCGAACATAAGCTGTTCAGCAGGATCAGACGAAGGTCGCGAAGAGTTGAAAAGTCAATAGTAACTTAAATAATAATAAACAGGTTACTTGTTCGCCCGTTAATAACGATAAACAAGAACTTTAATATTAAAATAATCATAAGAATATAATAAAATCAAATACAACAATACAGATAAGGTTAATAAATCAGAAGCACGTTTAAGCCAGTTTTCTATATACGGAGAATCGACTTAATCAGTATCTACCTACGTAAATTATCAAATTTTAATTTTCACACATAATATAAATAAAATAGAATATATTTAGTGCTAGTGACCAAAAAACGTATGATTGAAATTTAATTGAGTAAACTGATTTCCTGTTTTAGGAGTTGATTATCATGGATGTGGAAATAAATTAACATTGGGGTGCACTCATTGGCTTAAATGCAATGCGAAAGGTGATGCTGGCATTTAAATAATTGGTATAATTTCCTAGAATTGCTTACAGCTTAACAAATAGCCATTGCAATTTGACGAGCAGACCTCTGACCATTTATTACTGTAAAACAAATGGCTAATTGATATATGTTGTTGATATGATTGGCGATAATTAGTAGCTGGCAGCTCAGTTCATAGGTTGGCTAACGTAGCGGATCTGTATTTCTGTAATTAGCCAAGTTTATTGGCGAATTCTCACTTGTTAATCGTTGGTGGCAGTTGCCATTTGAATTCACTTGGATTAATTACAGATGTAGGAATACTATTGCGACTCTGACTTCATCATCGGAAGGGTCCGCTTGGGGTCACCAATTATTATCGATGCACATGGGTTTTTCAATAATATCATTAGGCACTGGGTGCTTTGACGTCATTTCGCCCCAGAAACAACCGATTTACTTTAAATACGCCCAAATTGTGTTCACGTTCGTTGCTCATGTTTTATGGATTTGCGAGAGAGACTTTGTCATATAATCAATAGTTGCGGGCTTAGTTCGGCGGCTCAACCCGAAAATCAAAATGACAAATCTAAAGTTTAATTTAAATTGGTCACCAAAACAGACAAAAGTTCAATTGTTCATTTGAAAGTATTAAGCGGACTCGTGCAATTTAAATTGGGACACACAAAAAAAAAGAAGACACAAATAATATATCAAAACACTAAGAAAAAAACATTTCAATGAAGAAACGAATAAAAAGCTGCCTAGCCAGCCCTCAAATTTGAAGAACTCATATTTGCAAGCGACCGGACTGACGGATTTGTCTATTATCTATATATATTCTCCAGGCAAAATTAGGATACCCTATGGAAGAGTAAAAAAATGTTATACCTTACGTTCCAATTTAATTACATTTTTCAAAAAAACATTGCGCATTTTTTTTAGGTATTTATTTTGCATTTACCTAATTTTAAAGACAATATATTTGGTATTAAATTAGGACTACTTTTGAATCTATAATAGTATATTTTAAAAATCTGTTCATTATTTAGATACAATTATAAAATATTTGCAATTGATCTGGAGCCAGATAACTATACATATTATAATGCAATTTATATAAAATTTACAAATTTTCAAATATTAAAAACAAATTTCTATAAGAACAGAAATTTATGAACAGTTATTTGTTTTTCTATTTTTGTTATTTTCTATATGATGATTAAATTGAAATTGATGTCTTCATCAGATCATTTTATTAATTTTATATATAAGCTTCATTGCAACTCTGTGCACTATTAGGAATTTTAATTATTTATGCATATTAAAAATTCAATGCAATTCTATCGCACATATATTAGTTACAATATTTCTTATTATATGCTGAGTCAGTTGTGATTTGTCTTAAGACACTGTTTACATTAGAGAACTTGATTTTAAGTTAACCAATTGCCAATTTGATTTATGATGATGCCCTGTCAAAAGTCAAGCGACAACCTATCAATACTAATGATGATGATGATACTTATCGAGTTAGGTTTGATGAAATTACTGCTACAATATAAAAATGCGAAACTCTCCAGATATGCATTTGTTCAAATATATATTGGCATTATGACCTTTGCAAGGCGCAGTAACATGTGCTACTAATCTTATTGAGAATTACGACAAAGCAATTGTCGTTCAGCATTTGTATCTGCATCAATTCTGGGTTGGCTAAAGTACATTCTGACAATTAACATATCTAATAATAAAGCATC